GTCCAAGTTTATTTGTTATAAGGGGGGAGGGAAGTCAGTGGAAAATGACAGTGCTGTTAAAGGGAAGGAAAGAACATCAGAAAAGAAAAAGTCCTTTGATCATAGCATACGACTTAATGAATGTCTTGTGGAAAAGATGCGAAGGCTAGAGAACAGAATAGCTAGGTGAGATTAGAATTGTTTGAATGGCTGCACCCAGAGTAGTCACTATTGGTTCAACAGCAGCTCGGAAGGTGTTATCTCCTCAAGTTAACAGTGCTATTAAAGCCTTGTATAAAACCATAGGTGACATGCTTATCAGATTTGTAGACACAAAGCTGGGGGGCATGCTGGGCAAAAGATGAAATGAATGAAGAAACAAAGATTCAAGCTTCTGAGCATATCAATTTATTAAGCAATACATGCCAATTGTCCAACAAATTGGGACCAATAGAGTTCCTCAGCTTTAGCAGTGGACCCTGAAAAAGGGGAAGACGAATATTTATGCATTTAAAACAATCAAATAAGACCAATTAAAAGAATAACCAGGATACAAAATTGGGTAAACTGATTTTTAACTGGAGGAAAGATTAGGGCCTTTCCAAGTTGGGAGGGGGAGAGTAAACAGGTGCAATTTCATGAAATTAGAAAAAAAGTGTCCCACTCACCCATGTTATTTATAAAAAAATCAAAGGAATTTGGAAAGAGTAACTGATCAGCATGGGACTAGTTTTCCTATGAGACATCTGGGTTGCTTGAGATGTATAATTGTGAGAAAACTCCTTGCATTAATCTTAGCATCTGACTGGTTTTCTAGTCCTTAGTTAAGGGGCTTTAAGAAGCAGGTAGAGGTGGTTGGGCTTTCTGGCCTTGCAGGGCTAGGTTCAAATAATGCAATAAAGCTTTCCCTCACATTTCCCGTAATTGAATGAAGTTTTCTCACAAGAACAGAAATTGCACTAGACCCATAATTGAATAGAAAGGGATGGGGCAGCTAGGTGGCACTGTGGATAGAACACTGGCCCTGGAGTCAGGAGGACCTGAGTTCAAATCCAGTCTCAGACACTTACTAGCCATGTGACCCTGGGCAAGTCACTTAACCCCCATTGCCTCCACAAGAAAAGGGGGAACTGAGCTAGATACAGAATTAAGTCACAAGATGGAGTCAATGTGGTTCACTCAATTCCCGCTACCACTTGCTATGATAATCCCCTCCATTCCCTCAGTGGCATGGTTAAAGCACTGGTTGATGTATCTAAAAAGTTCTTGACAAGTTAGATCACCCGCTAAGTGTAAGATTAAACAACTAGATTGAATTAGTAGATGGATTAGTTGGAGGAGATAATTATAATTCTTCCATCTAACTAACTTCCTGGAAAAGATCTGGGGATTCAAATAGCAAAGATGATGTTTTTAAACAATGGTAAGTGTTAGAAGGTCTGTAGGAAGACATACAAATACACTATTGGTGGACCTTGTCTAGCTGTTGTGGACCAAAAAGTCACTAAACTGTTTACACTTCAAACCCAGAGATCACACCTCTAATAAAGCAGAGTCATGTCAGGAGGTGAAATACATAAAAGTCCCATGTGTACCAAAATGTCCACAGCAGTACTTTTTTTTTAATGGGATAGTGAAATGTTCAGACTCTTTAAGAGTCTGCCCAATATGGTGGATGCTCTAATACACCTTGTCTTTGGCTGAAAAAAAAAGATGGGGTAGTGATATTGGTAAACAGCAGGTGACCAACAGACAATGGCTGAACAGATGCTGGTGTATAAATGCAATGAAATAGTGTGCTTCAAGGAGCAATGGACATGGGAAATTCTGAGAAACAGGAAGATGAATGAATGTACGTAAATGAGATCGACAGATCCATAACAACACACATAATTACAACAGTATGTATGACAACAACATTAAAAAGCAATCAAGTTCTAAGCAATTGGAATCAATCAAGGAATGAGTTTTCATGAAGTGCCTCTACACCAAATTCATTAGTCACGTCTAACTTCAGGACCTGATTTGGGTTTTCTTGGCAGAGATACTGGAGAATTTGCCATTTCCTTCTCCAGCTGCAGGCAGGGGTTAAATGGCTTGCCCAGGATCACACAGCTAGTACGTGTCTGAGGTCTGATTTGAACTCTGGTCTTTCCAGGCCCAGGGCTCTATCCACTGGACCACCTGGCTGTTTTCGCCAAGACAGCCCCATGGACAGCTGGTCCACAGTGTCACAGAGGCAACCATGACTGAACAATAGCCAAAGGTCTCAAAAAAGAGTCATAAGGAGACACTCTGCTCTTGGCTTTGCTTGGGTAAAATAATGGGTGCGTGGTGCTGTAATGTCTCAGACTTTCTGATGGTAATAATAATAACGAACACATGGGGCACTCTAAGCTTTGCAAAGCACTTCACAGATGTCTCAGTTTATGCTCACAATAATCCTGGGTGTTGGGGACTATCATTATCCCCAGTTTAGAGATGAAGAAAATGAATTGGAGACCAAGTTCTTTGTCCAAGGCTGTACAGTAAGTGTTTGAGGCCAGATTTGACCTTGGGTCTTTGTGACTCCAGGCCCAGTGATTTATCTGCTGTGCCCCCCAGCTACCTCTGATGAGTTGGTTAGGCTTACTGGACTGTGTTCTCCACACCCCCCCCCCCCGCCTTTAAAGTTTTGTAATAAATGGCGACTCTGTGGGATGGTCAGGAAGAAGTATGTTTTGTATTGCCAGAGGATGTTACAGGTGTTTAGTATTGGCTGACACCCCCACAAGTGAGAGGCACTCTTGCCTTTGTGTTGCTGAATAGGGAATTTCTCTCAGTCATCAGCCTCCTTGGAGCATACCCCTAGTGGTGGGATCTATGGGTCAAAAGGCATAGAACATTCTAGGCACTTTACAATATGTATACAGGTAAGTAAATACAAAATAATAAGGATGGTGAAATTTGGGAAGCTCAGGAAATTTCCCATAGAGGAGGTGGTGCCCGAGCTGTGAAGAAAGGAAAGGATGGGATGAAAGGTTGAAGAAAGGAAAGGACTCTATGAAGTGGAATTGAGGAAGGATAAGATACTAGGCCTTAGGGGACTACCTATGGAAATATAAGAAGTCTGGCCTTCTTGGGCTTGAGGATCAATTACTTTTTACTTTTGGGGTGGAGGGCAGATGGGAAGTAAATCAATCGGGCTATTGGTGACTGTTTCAAGTCACCCGGGCAAACAAGCTTCTCTGGAGAGTGGGATGTTATGTGGATGCATGGCTGAGATTTTTTTTTGCTTGGACATGGGGAGGTGGGTAGGATGTGACAGGGGTTTGGCCAACAGCACTAGAAGGTGTAGTTCCTTGGGCTTTTGGATGAAGCTCTTTGACTGTGCCCCATCCTACACCCAGTACGCACCACTCAAGTGCAGCCATCCATTTGATTGGACAGTAACAGGTCTCAGAGAGGAAAGAACAGTATACACTCACAGAATAGCTAGCATTTACTTACTGCTTGACAAGCCTTACAAATGTTTTTTGCAGTGTGTCTTCATAACAGGCCTGAGGGGGAGGTGCTATTATTATCCCCATGTTACATACAAGGAAACAGAGTTGTTGAAAGTGAATTTCTGGGAGAACAGAAGTGACTCCATCTTGTTCTGTGTGGTCCATTTTGCAATATATGACCCTTGCACTGGCTGCGAGAACAGGTGCAGAAGCCGATTGTTGCCAGGATCTTCTTTTCTTCCTCTAATTTGTACAAATGCCTTTGTTGCTTAAAAAAAAATTTTAAGAGGGTTTTAAAGTCTAGGGAATGGCTCCTTCTGCTACCTGCCTGGACAGGAAGTTAGTTCTCTTTGATTTAATGAAATTAGCTCTGCTAATAAGCAGGCACCTCTTATCGCTTCCCCTTTTTTTTTTAACAGGAATGTTATTTTTTTCATATTTATAGCAGTTCTTTTTGTGGTAGCAAAGAATTGGAAATGGAGGGGATGCCCAACAGCTAGGGAATGGCTGAACAAGTTGTGGCATATGAATGTAATGGAATACTATTGTGCTATAAGAAATGATGAAGAGGCTGACTTCAGAAAAACCTGGAAAGTCTCGCATGTTCTCATGCTAAGTGAAGTGAGCGGAACCAGGAGAACGGTGTACACAGTAACAGCCCCGTTGTGTGATGACCGACTTTGACAGACTTAGCCCTTCTCAGCAACGCAAAGATCCAAGATCGCTATTCACATCCAGGGAAAGAACTGATGGGCTCTGAATGTGGATGTGCGTGTGTTTCCCTTTTGATCTGTTTCTTCTTTCACAACTGTGACTAATATGGAAATATGTTTCACGTGATTGCATTGTTATCAAATTGCTTATCATTTTAGGGAGAGGGGAGGGGAAGGAGGAAAATTTGGAATTCAAACTTTCATAAAAATGAATGCTAAAAACTGCCTTTACAAATAATGGGAAAACAATAAAACACCCTTTTTAAAAAAAGAAGTTTTTTCTTGGCATGGCCGGCTGCCTTGTAGTAAGTGGCCCCCTTGTTTTTCTTTGCTTCATATGGTGTAGACATACAGCTGAATCGTGACTCGCTGCCGGTGGGATAAGCCACAGCGGATGCAGTAAAGCCTGTCTGCTGGCTAATCGAATTGATGGGAAAATCCCTGCTGTCCAGCTAAGGAGGTGCCTGGGCTGGTTTTGAACTCAGAACCTCCTGAGTCCAGGCCCAGCCCTCCAACCACTGGCCACCTAACTGCTGGGAGGAGGACCCGATAACGCAGGAAAGACTGGTGGGAACTGCCGGCCCAGCCTCTGGGCGATTTCAGGGCCTCCCTTTTCTCCCCAGCTTCCCAGGAAGCCCAGGCTCAGGACGCATGCGCCTCACCTCCCGCTGCTCTCCAAACTACATTTCCCAGGAAGCGCAGGTACGAAGAGGCCCGCCCGTGACGTCACCTCCGCTCCCTAAGTTACTTTCTGCTTTGGCAGGCGGCTCTGAGCTGCCTGGGGTTCCTGAACCAGAGCTCTGCGCCCTGGAGGTGAGACAGCGCCGGGTGGCTCAGGGGTCTGGAGGACAGTGGCCTGACGGACCATCCGGCCCCTCGGTGCCCGAGCTGCGGCCCCCCGGGAGCGCGGACCTTCCGTCTGTCCCTGGGTTTCAGACCTCGGTGGGGAGGAGGGATGTTGTACCCTCGCGCCTGCGCATTTTCTCACCCCTCCCCGTCCCCTCCGCAAGGGGGCGCAGCCGTCAGCCAGCCCTGGGGGGCGGGGCGCACCTCCAGCCAATCAGGGCAGACACCGCTGCCCTTCTCCCTCGACTCCTCCCTGTCTTAGCTGGCATCCTTGGTGTCCTCACCCGAGCAATGGCCTCCTCCTGCCAGGGATTCCCCGGGAGTGTGCGTAGTGAGGCCCTGGAGGGGGCGCTTCCTCAGTTTACCCCCCTGGGAAATGGGGCCAGGGGTCCCTGGGGCTCAGCAGCAGCCACCGAGGCACCCGCAGCATCTCTGCCCCTGTCTGAGATCCTGGGGGGTCCATCTGGCCCTGCCCTCGTTTCCAGAAGCCGCACCTTTGCCTCTGCCGGGCCATCCTCCAGGAGCTCAGCCCTCCCTTCTCCCCGCACCTCTTACGGCTCCCTTCTCCTCCCCAGGAGAGGCCCCTGCCTGGCCCAAGGGGCAGAAGAGCGGAGAGGAAGCCATGGCCCCCCAGGTGAGTGGGACCCCCCCCCGAGGGGCTTTACTGTCCACGGAGGGTGACACATTCATGGACTCTGCCTGTCATCTGTAATACCTGGGCTCCGGGGCCTGCAGGTGCGGACCTGAGATCAGAATGACTGGAATTCAGATCCTGCCCCAGAAACTGACCAGCAGTGTAACTGGCAAGGCACGCTGTCTTCCTCAGTTTCCCCACTTGTCAAACCTGCTTCCCAGATTTGTTGTGAGAATCCAAATGCAAAAATACTTGTAGAGCATTTTTGAAATGCAGGAGGCTGTGGCTGCTGCAGCTACTACTACTACTACTACTGCTGCTGCTGCTGCTGCTACTACCACCACCACCACCACCACTGCTATTACTATTACTACCTGAAGGAGAGAAGGGACATCCTGGAGGTGACATCTGTCAGACTCCAGATCCCTTCCCTTCCCCCCACACCCCAGGGCCTCCTTACTTCAGTGTCAGCCTCCCTCTTCGGCTCGGGGCCCCTCTCTGGTTCTTCCGACCTTTCTTGGGTCCTTGGAACATGATGTTCTAGGCTCCTGGGGTCTCTTCAAGCTCTGTGCTGGGTGGGCTGTCATGGAAGTGATTCTGTCTCCAAGAACCAGGGTGCATGTCATGTTCTCAGTGTTAGCAACCTCTTTCTTCACCAAAGAGGATGGCATTATGTCCCTTTTCCAGATGGTGGAGGAAAAGGAAAATTCCTGGGATCATGGCAGCATTGAGTGATAGAGGCAGGATTTGCCAGGGTGCTTGAGTGTCTTGGCAGATGAATATTCCCAGGGACAGGATGTTGGAGGCGTGGTCGGTGAGAGTTTGTCTGAGTTAGGGGTGTGATGGGAAATGGGTTCTGACAGGGTTCAAGGTGGAGTCTGATAGTCTTAGAGCAGGGAGGTGTGTTATAATGTCATATATAATGTCATCCAAAGGTCTGGGTCGGCTAGCAGGCTACTAAGGTTCTTCTGACTCCAGTGGTATGATATTGTGAGGCCTGGGTACGAGTCACAGCTTAGACACTTAATGCCTGTGTGACCATGAATGGGCCACTCAGTCTTTGCTAAACTCAGTTGGCTCATCTGCAGAGTGGGGATAAGGAATACCTGCCCCACCTGCCTTGCAGGTGTTTGTGAGGAGAGTATTTGGCAGACATAAAGTGCTATTTACGGAGGGGGTGTTACGGTGATTTTTGGCCTGTCTCTTAGGAGGGATGAAATGAGTGTATGGCTTTGAGCCCTCAGGGAGCAGAGCAGTGAGACTCGGTACTTCTAGATTCCTGCACATTTCACCCCTCCCCTAAGGTCCACCTGAGGGATGGTCGTTAGGGAAGCCCTTATGTTTATTGAATGAATGATTGGCTCTTTCAGGAATCAGTGACCTTCGAGGATGTGGCAGTGGACTTCACCTGGGAGGAGTGGGGCTACCTGGACACCTCCCAGAAGGAGCTTTACTGGGAGGTGATGCTGGAGAACTACAAGAACCTGGTCAGCCTGGGTAAGGAGGCTCCCCTGGGACTCGGGGTCCTCCCATGGAAGGGTGATTGTTTCCTCTCTTAGTGTATGCTGGGAGATGTGTCTGCTGTTTGGCTGTGATTCTTTGGCTTTAGAAACCAGAAATGGCTGAAGAATGCTTGTGGCCCAGGGAAGGATGCTCACTGTGTCCGTTGTCTGCAGTATGTTTCTGGCTTTGTAAAACTGGAAACTGACCGTTTCGTTGTCTTGTACCTCATTGTCTCTGTACTCCCAGTCAGGGGGTTCTCCCCTTAACTCCCAGTGCAGGTCTTTGAAGACAGGAAAGTTCCAGATCATCTTAGCAAGAAGTGGGGCATATGAACCAGTTTTCCTGCTGAGCCCAAATCGACACTGTGCCCCATTGCCCCATATGTTTTAGGAACACCAAGCAGAACATCCTTCATATGTCTCTTGTACTGCCCTCTCGACTGTCCTAGGGTTCCCACTGTTCTTGGAAGGGGTGGGGGGCTAGGATTGAATTCTGGGGTGTCTCTGGGTCCCAACCACTTTGTTTTTTCCATTGACCAGGCTTTGTGGTTGCCAAGCCAGATGCGATCTCTCAGTTGGAGCAAGAGGAGGCACCTTGGAGACCTGAAGTTCTGTTTCCAAGAAGCAGCTGTTCAGGTAAGTGAAGAAAACCTAATCTGTTGAGTTATTGTAACTAATAGCTCTGAGAGACATTCACCAGGACTGTGGATAGAGAATTATTTATGTCAGGGAAATGCAAATTAATGCAACTCTGAGATATACCACTTTACAGAGATTAAATTCATATGTATAGTCAATTAAAGTTAATTGATGTCAATGGTGGAAAGCAAGAATACTTTTATGCTCTTGGAGAGCTGTTAAGTGATAGAATCTTTTTAATTTTTGAAATTTTTTTAATCAGTATAAGTCTGCTCTTTTCTCGCCACAACTCCCAATTCTGAAAGATTTTAAAAAAATCCCTCCTGTTATTGTGAAGCAAAACCAATTTTCTCATTGACCATAACCAAGCGCGTTTGTGTTTCATCGCCTCTCTAACAAGAGGACAGTAGCATGTTTTTCCACGAGCTTCCTGGTATCGTGGTCGGTCATTACACTAATCAGAGTTCCTAAATCTTTTAGAGTTTTCTTCACAGTATTATTGTCTTGTTTCCTTGTTTAGTGACATGTCTCTCTGTTCCCAGCTCTGTATGTGTATGTATGTTTATTCTTCTCTTCTTTGACTGGTTCAGATAAGAGTGAGGCTGTGGTTTTACTCACTCTTTCCTCTTTGTTTTTATAGTGTTCTACTTTTGCCCCCTGATTATGTGAGGTAATTTTCCCTTTCCTTCTTCTCCCTTTTGCCCTGTGGTATATTTCACTTCCCTTCTCTTTTTATTCTCCTTTTCCCTATTATATCTAAGGCCCTCTGTCTCATTAGGCTCCCTTCATACTCCCAATGGGAGCAGCTAGGCATTGAAGTAGATAGGGCATGGGGCTTGGAATCAGGAACACTCATCTTCCTGAGTTCAAACATGACCTCAGACACTAGCTGTGTGATCCTGGGTGAGTCAGCTGTGTTTGCTTCAGATCTTCATCTGGAAAATGAGCTAGAGAAGGAAATGGTGAATCATTCCTGTGGCATTGTGAAGAAAACCCCGAATGAGCTCACAGAGTGTCAGACACAGCTGAGATGAGTGAATGACAATGAGAGCCAAGTGCGACTCCTCATGATGAGAGGGCACAGAGGGGAACTGGTGTGCCCCCGCCATTAGACTGTAAATTGTTCATCTTTGTTTGGGACCTCGTGACTGTTTACTCTTATTTACTGTTTTTATGTTTCACTCGAGTTCTGTTTTTGTACTTCAGAGGTTTGTTTTTGTTTTGTTTTTAATCTGGTTCTGTTCTTTTCATCAATTTTGCTGGGTAATTTATTCCTGTTTGTAACCTCTATTTTTTGCCTTTTGGAATATCGTATTCCGGATTCTCTGCTCCTTCTAGAGCAGAAAGGGAGAAAGGTGCTGCCGATATGATTTCCGTTTCCTCTTTTGTCTTTAGAGCACAGAAAACAAATTGGATTCCTGGAGTCCTTAGGCTACTTCTGTTCTGTTTGAGAATTATGCCTGTGTTTGCAGTCTTGAGTTTGAAGTAGTGTTTCATGGGCTAGTGTCAAACCCTTCTTTCTGTGACATCTAGCTGGATCTTTACTTTTCAATATGAAGCCCATTTGAATAGACTTCCAAAACTCTAGACTAATAATCTATGAGTGGACACACATTTATAAGACTACAGTCCACTCACCAGTAGATAAGTGGTTTAAATACATGAACAATAAGTTCTTGAGAGAAAGAATACAATAGAACACATTGGTACCAGAATGGAGCAAATGTTAATTCTTTCATAATCAGGGAAATGCTAATTAAAACCACTCTTAAGATATACCATCTTATATCCATTAAAATGGCATATATAGTTAATTATAAATGATCAGTTTAAATGTTGTAAACCAAGAATGCTTTCACACTCTTGGTAGAGCTATCTTTTGATTCGGTGTTTTTATTTTTATTTTTTCAGCCAAAGACAAGGTTTACTAATGACCTGCCATATTAGCCAGACTCTCAAATTAAGAATCTGAGCACGTGTGAGTTATTAGCCAGATTGTAAAAATCTGAGCAGTGGCTAGATTTTAAGAATCTGACCTATTCAGTGTTTTTAGAAAGCCAAATGAAAAAGCTTTACAATCCTTTGTCTTTTTTTTTTTGACCCTATTTTCACTTTATTAGAACCTTGCCCCTAAGTATGACATTCACAAGACTTCCCTTCATTCCTGGCTATATTGTTCTAGGCAAGTTGCAGTGGGGGGTTTTTTGAACAAACTGCAGTTTTTGAATGTAATTGAATATTATCTTGTTATATGATGTGACAGGTATGAAGAATACAAAGAAATATATAAAATCTTACAACAAATTGATACAGAGTAAGTTAAACAGTGAAAAAAAATAACTGTTGATTATAACTTTGTTAATAACAACATCAAGAAAATTAAGGGAACTAAGCAGAAAGAAAAAGGAACAGGTTCATCTAGGCAAAGGGGATTATTTACCATTTTCATTTCTTTCAGATTTGGACACTAAGCCTCAGATCAAGGAAACTACTGTAGAGCTGGACATTTCTATGGAAGAATCATCCAAGAAAGGACTCTCAAGAGATTCTTCTTGGATTTTGACATTCGGAGGTGCCTGGGAATGTTATGCCAAGTTAAAGGCGGAGCAGAACAATGAGAATCAACACTTTAGACAGCTCAAAACCACCAAAGGGAAATCCCACAGTGAAATGAGTGGCCCTGAAGACAATAAAAGTGGCAGCAGATCTAGTCTAGAGCTATCTTTTTCTCCACAAAAGAGATTATTAGTGATAAAGAGTCTTCTTCATAAATATGATAGATGGAGAAAGGACCACAGAAGGCTTTCAGATGTGGAACAATATAAAAGAATCTGTTTAAAGAAGATATTTTTCAATGATGATAAATGTCAGAAATCCTTTAGTAATAATTTTGACCTTATTGAAGAACATACAATTCATAATAGAAATAAACATGAATATAATGAATATGGGAAGTCTTCCTCCAGAACACTGAATTTGCTCTGCACCAGAGAATTCACAGAGGAGAAAAGATTTATGACTGCAATGAATGTGTAAAGTCATTCCAGCAGAATGCATATCTTAAGCAACATCAAAAAATTCATAATGGAGAGAAACCTCATAAATGCAGTGAATATGGGGAGACCTTCCTCCAGGCCACTGAACTCATTCAACACCAGACAGGACACACTGGAGAAAAACCATGTAAATGTAATGAAAGCGGGAAGGCCTTCCACCAGAATTCATACCTTAAAAAACATCAGAGAATTCATACTGGAGAGAAACATTATCAGTGCCATAAATGTGAAAAAACCTTTCTCTGCCCCACTGAACTCACTCAACACCAGAGAACACATACTGGAGAAAAACTTTATGACTGCAATGAATGTGAGAAGACCTTCTGCTGTAAATCATACCTTACTGATCATCAGAGAAGCCATGCTAGAGAGAAACCTTATGTATGTAATGAATGTGGGAAGGCCTTCCATCAGAATTCATACCTTCGAAGACATCAGAGAATTCATACTGGAGAAAAACATGCATGTAATGAGTGTGGGAAGGCCTTCCTACGGACCACTGAACTTACCCAACACCAGAGAACACATACAGGAGAAAAACCTTATAAATGCAATGAATGTGGGAAGACCTTCTATCAGAATTCGTACCTTCGAAGGCATCAGAGAATTCATACTGGAGAGAAACCTTATGCATGTAATGAATGTGGGAAGGCCTTCCTCCGGTCCCCTGAACTTACCCAACATCAGAGAACACATACAGGAGAAAAACCTTTTGAATGCAATGAATGTGGGAAGACCTTCCGCTGTAAATCACACCTTACTGATCATCAGAGAATCCATACTAGAGAGAAACCTTATGTATGTAATGAATGCGGGAAGGCCTTTCTCAGGAGTACTAATCTTAGTCAGCACCAGAGAACCCATACTGGAGAAAAACCATATGAATGTAGTGAATGTGGAAAGGCCTTTGGTCAGAAGGCACATCTTACTCATCATCATAGAATTCATACTGGAGAGAAACCCTATGAATGCAATAAATGTGGGAAGGCTTTCCGCCAGAATTCATACCTTAGAAGACATTTGAGAATTCATACTGGAGAGAAACCGTATGTATGTAATGAGTGTGGGAAGGCCTTCCTCCGGGCCACTGAACTTAGTCAACACTATAGAACACATACTGGAGAAAAACCTTATGAATGTAGTGAATGTGGGAAGACTTTTGGTCAGAAGGCAAAACTTATTCAACATCAGAGAATTCATACTGGAGAGAAACCTTATGTATGTAATGAATGTGGGAAAGCCTTCATCCGGAGCACTAATCTTAATCAGCACCAGAAAACTCATACTGGAGAAAAACCTTATCAGTGCAATGCATGTGGGAAGGCTTTCTGTCAGAGGGCAGATCTTACTCAGCATAATAGAACTCATACTGGAGAGAAACCTTATGTATGTGGTGAATGTGGGAAAGCCTTTTGTCAGAAGGCAGCTCTTACTCAACATAATAGAATTCATACTGGAGAGAAACCTTATGTGTGCAGTGACTGTGGGAAAGCCTTTCACTGGAGCACAGTGCTTGTGCAACATCGGAGAACCCATACTGGAGAGAAACCTTTTGAATGCAATGAATGTGGGAAGTCTTTCAGTCAAAGGGCAAAACTTATTAGACATCAGCGATTTCACACTGGAGAGAAACCATATAAATGTTTAGAATGTGGAAAGGCCTTCTGTCAGAAAGCAGATCTTACTTTACATAATAGGATTCATACTGGTGAGAAACCTTACAAATGTAATGAATGTGGGAAGACCTTTCGCTATAACTCACACCTTACTCAACATCAGAATATTCATACAGGAAAGAAACCTTATGAATGCAATGAATGTGGAAAGGCCTTCTTCTGGAGAACAGCCCTTAATCAGCACCGACAGATTCATGCGGGGGAGAAAACTGGTTCATGTAATGAGGGATGATGAATTCCTTTTCCAGGAGCACATAGCATATTTGACATTAGAGAATTTGCATAGGCCAGAATATGAAAAGCCTCAGCAAGAGACTCAGAATTACTGAACATCAGAAAGTTCATGCTAGAGAGAACCTATTTGAATATGATAATTGAGTTAAGGCTTTTTTTTCCAGAAATAAGTCTTGCTAAATATCATATTTAATGCCAGAGAGAAACTATATGAATGCATAGCCATTGGGAATCCCATCTGTGAATAGGGGTGAAGCATAAAGCGGTGCTCAGGAGAGTGTTGGCGCAGTGCAGCCATGCCCTTTCTGTTATGACCAAAGCATTTCTTTGGCTTGACTATACTTATTTGTTACATAGGAGAGCTCTGTAGACCAGTGGGAAGTGATAGCAATATTTTTTAAAGCTTCAGTGTAATGTAGAAGGCAAATCCTTCATCCAGATCACACAACTTAATAAATGTTATGCATACATTCTGGCAGAGATAAAGAGAGGTAGACCAGCATCCAGTATAATTAGGTTTAAAACTAGTTGAATGGCTATGCCCAAAGAATATGCAGTACTGGTTTAGTGGCAGTTTGCTAGGTGGCCTCTGCATAAGTGCCTTAGGGAATCAGTTCTTGGACCTCTGCTGTTTTACCATTTTTTATAAATGACTCATAAAGGCATGGATAATATGCTTGTCAAATTTGTAGGTGGCACAGGGCTGCACATGTTGGCTGACGTTTAAGATATGAAAGAACCTTGGTGGACTAGAACATTGAAGTAAACATAAAATTAAAAGGATGATAGTGATGCTGTTATAGTTGGGTTCTACTAGTTAAGTCCCAAGTACAACATGGGGAAGAATAGGTAGAAAATAGTTTCTAAAAAACCTGGTTTCAAAATGGCAAGGTTAATAGCAGATCTAGTGTTGGAGGAACTGTAGAATCCAGGTATTGGTAGAGCTGTGAATTGGCCCAACCATTTGGGAAAGTAATGTGAAATTTGCAAAACAAAATAAAACAAAACAATGTCACTGACCTGTTTATATGTCTGACCTGTTGCAATCCCACTTCTGTTGACAAAGACATTAAGAAAGGTCCCTAATCTAAACCAAAATGCTCATTTTTGTGATAGCTAATATGTCAAGCCCAGCAGGTGCCCATTACCTGGGGAATGGTTGAACAAATTTGGGGCTATTCATGTGATTGTAGACTATTGTACCAGAAGAAATTACTCATATGGGGAATTTAGAAAAGCAGAGAAGGATGTATATTAAGTGACATAAATTGAAGAAAGCAGATCTAGGAGAACAGTCTGCACATCAACTGAAATAATGTGAATGAAAGCAATGCTAAAAAGCAGGCAAAGTTATTAGCTGCAATCAACAATTAAGCAGTTATTCAGTTACCATATTGCAGGCATTGGGCTAAGGTGTTTTGGTTTCTCTAATGTCTTTATGGGGTGATGTTTCATCCTGCGTCCATTTGGAGCTTAGTTTGGCATAAAGGTCAGCTGTTGGTCTAAAGCTAACTTCTTCCAGACAGCCATCCAGGGTACTGAGTCCTTATCCCAATAGTTGGAGTCTTTGTGTGTATCAACTACTAGGCTACTAGATCTGTTTTCCTCAGTGTGTTACCAAATTTGTTCCCCGATTGATTTATTTTTGGCCGGTACAAAACTGTTTTGAGAATTTCTGTTCTATAGTTTGGTTTTAGATCTGTGCCCTCTATATTTCTACTTCTTTTCATTATTTCCCATGAGATACTTGACATTTTTTTTTTGCCTCCACATGAATTTTTTTGTTATTATTTTTTAAAGAACCTTTGGTATTTTGATTGTAATGACATTAAATGAGTAAACTGATTTAGGTAATGCCATTTTTACTATATTGATATTTTACTCATGAGCAATTAATATTTTTCTAATTATTTAGGTCTGTCTTTATTTCTGTAAATGGTTATTCCTAGTTATGTTTCCATATTTGTGGTGTGCGTTTTTGTAGATAGACTCCCAAGTAGGTTTTACATTCTATTGTTAATTGAAATGGAATTTCTCTGTCCTGCTGAGTTTTACTAGTATTACATAGAAATGCTGATGAGTTGTGTGGATATGTCTTATATCTTGTAAATTTGTTGAAGTTCTGTTTAACTTAATTTTTATTTGATTCTTTAGGGTTCTTTCAGTATACCATCATATGACCTTACAGTGTGATAATTCCCTTTTTTACCTATATTTGTCTTATTGCATTTCTAGTACTATGTCAGATAGAAGTGGAGACAGTGGACATTCTTGTTTTATTCCTGATTTTATTGGAAAGAATTCTAGTTTATATTCTTTACCTATAGTATTAGTTCTTGGATTTAGATCTATACTGTTTACCATTTTATGAAAAGATACTTTTATTTCTCAATTTTGTTATATTTCTGAGAGATGGTTATTGTATTTTGTCAAAAGCTTTTTTCTGCATCTGTTGATAAAAATACTATACTTTTTAGTTTTTGTTATTAATATGATTAATTAAATGTATAGCTTTTTTCTAAAATTAAACTATAGAATATTATAATATTAAAGTAAGCGAATATTATAATATTAAAGTAAGCAAACATGGGGAATATTACCTATCAAATACATGGATAGAAGACAAGTTCTTGATTAAATAAGGGATAGAGAGGATCACAGAAGCTAAAATGTATAATTTTGATTATATAACATTAAAAAAACTTGCACTAACAGTTCTAATAAAGCTAAGGTTAAAAAGGAAACAATGGGGGAAAGTCATTACAGCAAGTTTCTCTGATAAAGGTCTCATTTCCAAAACAGATAAATAACAGATTCAAGTTTATAAGAATTAGGAACCATTCCCTAATTGATATATGCCCTGAGGATATGAGCAGGCGCTTCTCAAGAAAAAAAAATTCAGGTACCTATAGCCATGTAATAATAATTTCATAGCTATTTCTTATGTAGCACCTTAAGCTTCATAAAGCACGTTACATATGTTAACGTTGATCTTCACAACCCTATACAGTAGATGTGATTATTATCCCCTTTCATAGTGACTTGTCCAGGGGCACATAGCTAGGAAGTATCTCAGGCAGAAGCTGAGCTCGGGCTTTCTCAACTCGAAGTCCCACATTCTGATACACCATCTAGCTAGCTAAAACAATCTTCCACATCACTACTAATTAGAGAAATGCATATTAAAGCAATTCTGAGATTCCACCTCACACATCAGATGACAAAAAAAGGAAAATAATGTCAAAAGGGCTATAGCAAAAGAGGCATGTTGAAGTATTGCTGATAGACTGTGAATAAGTACAACCATTCCAGGAAGCAATTTGAATTGATACTAAAAAGTGACTAAAGACTATGTGCCCTTTGACCCTACTATGCCACTGCTAGATGTATACCCAAAAGAAATCAAAGGAAGAGGAAAAGGTCCTGTATGTACAACATATTTATAACAGCTTTTTGCAGTAGCAAAAAACCCTGAAAATGAAAGGCTTACTCATCCACTGAGGAGTCGCTGAAGGTGTGGTATATGAATGTGATGGAATACTACCATGCTGTAAGAAACAGAAGGGCTTCCACTTCCAGGAGCCAAGATGGTGGAGCGAAAAGGTAGTCGCTCTCAGTCTCCCCTATCAACCTCTGAAATCCCAGAAAATATCACCCCAGAAAAAAAAAAAAACCTAGAACAGCTGAACTAGAAGAAAGATGGGGAGCAGCAGTGCAGCAGCCCAGCGGATGGGTCTCCCAGTGCCTCAGCAAAAATAAGGGAGGCAGAACTACAAGGGACCCCAGGCGATAAGTACCCTGTGGCATTTATATGAAAGGAAGTGAAGAAAACAACCTAAAGTCTTCCTAAAGCCCCGGCTTTGCTGGTTCCAGCCCAACACCAGGTGAGCTGTCGGAGCCCTGCAGCCTCCAATTGTGAAGAAATCCTGAAGCACCAACACCCGGACCTCTGAGTGCCTCAGTGATGGTTGGGGGGGGGGACGGGGCTGGTGGAAACCAGCTCAGAAAACCACCAGGTGCCTCGGCACTCTACTGCAAAGGAATCTCCCAGTGCATTAGCAGAAATGAGGGAGACAACACTGCAGGGGGCCCCAGGCAGATAAACACCCTGCAGCACCCATCTAAAAGGAGCTGAAGAAAGCTAAAGGAAAGGAAAAGCAGGCAACCTAGAATTGCCTGAAAGTTCCAGTCTTGCTGATTCCAGCCCAATATGAGCTAAGATGCCAGAAACCTACAGCCTTCAATTGCCAACATGAGAGGCCCCAGCACACAAAGCCAGTGACCAAGACCTAGGCTCCCAACACAAGAAGCTTGGGTCAGTGCCCTCTGTTCCCCAGCAGGAGAGCTCAGTCTCTTTAAAGACCAGGGAATAAAGAAACACCATGAGTAAAAAGAAACATACCATAGATTCATATTATGAGAAGAGTGAAGATCAAGACAGAAATTCTGAAGAGGACAACGTTGTCAACAAACCCACATCTGCAACAACAAAAGGGAATATGAACTGGTCTGAAGCCTGTGCGCGTCCAGCTCAGTGGCTGTGAGAGTCTTAAACTCTTCCTCCCCAGGAATGCTAAGGCCAGCTTAGTTCCTGATACCCTGCGCCGAGCAGTGAGAGGCAGGGAGACAAGATGGTGAAGCTCCGTTTATTCAAGGCACAGCACAGCGTTTTATACCTTTTTGACTCATGGGAACATACCCCAATGTAACAGCGGACAAAGCAACAAAGTTTACATATCTTTACCAACATGCAACACCGAGCATTTTTCTCATGTGAATACCAATCAAAGTATCAACAAGTGCATTTCTTTGCAACATTATCCTGACTGTGTCCTTCTCCCGGGCTGTTCCCGTAAAAACACCATGTGCTTCTTGTTCCCGGAATGTTCCCAGTATTTGATACATATTGGTGCTAGAGCTGACTGTGCTTGAGCTGGCGACATTGTTTATGGTTGAGTTTGCCTAGCGTTAGAGTTCTGCTGCCTGGGAGGTGCAAGGTCCGTGGATGGAGAACCGAGCCAGGATATTCTGCTCATGTACTAACACCCGAGAGGGGCCTTCACCCATCAGTGAAGTCTCATGAACAGCCTGTGGACCTCAACGTCCTACAGATCCCTAACAATTCCCCCTTTTTGCTTTTGTCGCAGTTTCAGTGTATGCATATCAGTATATATATTGTTTAACAGCCTGGTTATACATTGGAGTAAGCACGGAGTACAACAAAGCAAGATAAGAACAAAAAGAATAATAGGAATTACTGCAGTCACAATAGATGTGATTGTATGAGCCATATTGGAAAAGGGAGTTTTGATCTTATCTATCCAATATATAATATGTTGTGCCGTTTTCTCAGGCATTAGATCCCTATCAGCTGCATGTGAAATTTCTTGAGCAATGTGATACAACTCATCAATGTCCAATGACAATGTAGAATTTTCAAACAATCCATTCAAATGTCTACGTATCCTCATCCAGTCCCATTGAGATGAATTATACACAACATTGGTAAGACACATAAATTGGAACCTATAATCAATCACATTGTAAATGAGTACAATATTCAAGAATATCCAATTCATCACCTATTTCAATTATTGTTTCTTTCATACCCTCTAAGATGTGATAAAAGTTAGTATCAATGTGTTTTTGTGTAGCAAAGCCTATAGATACATTTTTTGCAAGTTCATTCAAAAATTCAACTTGAACAATTTCATTTTGAACAGTGGAAATTGACAGTGCTATAGAGACAGTAGAAGAAATCAAAGCTATTAATGAAACAATGCCCAAAGCAACGCAAGAAATACACCTCTTTTGTCTTCTTAAAACTAAGTCACTTTTGTGTTCTATAATACCAAAAATATGATCAGCCCTAGTATGATACCATTCTTTGCTTTTCACAGGTATAAGGGCAAATTTCTGTTGTGTTACGATAAATATCAATTGATCATTTATCTTCGACCCTCTACATTCTGACACACTACAATTCATACAAGTAACATTATATTCACCAGAGTCCAATTTTGTGATAGTGATGTTATTTTCTTTTCCCCACATGAATGCAAATTGTCCCAGTAAACAAGCTTGAGCACAGGCGACGTCGGAAAATGATGCCGATTCCTGTCTCTTCCATGCTGAGGTTAAATGGATAGGCCCGAGTGCTGCCCATGCCTTCCACAACTGATCTTCAACTTTACCATTAAGCAAAATCCAAGCAGGTTTAGGATATCCCCCAAAGGCTGGGGAGTAGGTGTGACTGTCATTAATGTCTTTAGTATAATTATGCCAGGATTGTAAAGTTGTGCCATTGATGTTGATACAATGTCTTTCAGCAGTAACACAGTCCAACCAGGGTGGGTATTCCTTCTTGTCTGGCCACATAGCCAAATAACAAGGAGAATATTTGGTAGGCCTCATTATTGGTGTGGAATTGTCACACCACTGTCCTTTGATACCCAACATCGTGATGTTGAAATGTTGAAAGTGCATGATAGATTTTGTTGGCCCTGTCTCATTAAATTGAGTACCTTCAAATCGAAATGTAAGATTCTTTAATTGTACACAAATATTTCGAGTGTTATTTGTCTTTGTGACACACAATGGTGGAGCTAAAGCTAATCCTGTAAAATTAAACTTTATTGTGGGTTTTGAATTATTGCCTGTTGAAACAAAATTAAACTCTTTACCTAATCCCTGTGAAACACTGCCTTGTAATATCACTTCTGGGAGAGTTTCTTCCCACGTAACTACCCTGGGCCAAGGTGGTTTTGTCACAAAAGCCCATCTAGTTGTATTCTCTTCAGCTACAGTTTGTGTTATCTGCAAACCTAATATGAGTGTTGTCAGTATCATGTAAGTGACTGTGTACAACTTGTTTCTTTCATCCTTTCTCCTACTGCTCCTCCGTCGTTTGGCCATCCTTCTTCTTTTCTTCTTGTTTTGAATGTATAAGTCTGACATCTTTACTTCTAACCCAGATTTCTCCTTCATCTGTGTAAATAAGAACAAACCCTTGTCCCATCGTTAGTACCCTACCGGGTCCCTTCCATATACGATCAATGTCTTTCCACATAGCTAACATCCCAGATTCGTGTATAACTCTAGTAGTTTTAGTGGAATTGTGATGAGAATCACTTGGGATGAAATACTTCATAGCCGGGGTGAGGTGTGTGTCACCGAATTTAAAATAATTTATTGTATAAATGCCTTGATTCAATCTGTGCCAAGGGGTCAACCCAGCTCCCCCTTTTTGTTTTTGCAACACCTCCTTTAAGGTACGATTGGCACGTTCCACAATGGCCTGACCATGAGGATTATAGGGAAGGCCAGTGGTGTGAGATATGCCAAACTCACAACAAAATTTCTTAAACCCTTGGGAAAGGTAAGCAGGGCCATTATCTGTTTTTAAATCATGAGGGGCCCCAGGAAAAGGAAAACAATGAAGTAAATGTGCAATTACATATTTAGCAGCCTCTCCAGACTGCAGAGTGGCAAAAATAAAGCCAGAATACATATCAACAGACACGTGTACAAACTTTTGTCTCCCAAATGGAGCATAATGAGTAACATCCATTTGCCATAAGACATTAGGAGCAAGTCCTTTAGGATTATGAAGATCTACTTGAAAGAGTGGCTGAAAAGGAACACAAGCAGTACATCTTTTCACAATGGTACGAGCTTGTGCTTTTGAAACACCATACAAAGTTCTCAGAGACCTGGCAGATAAATGCAATCTGCTATGACATTTCTGTGCTAATTCAACATTCATTGTTAATGCCCTATCAACAATATCATTCCCTTCAAAAATTGGTCCCAGAGCTGCAATATGAGACCTTACATGCAAAATATAAAATTTTTCTGTTCTAGCATGTATTAGGTTTTGGATGTCACTAAAAAGTTGAAAGATGTTGTTTTGTGTGTCCTTTATAATGGCAGTCTCTGAGTACTTCATCACTCCTTCCACATATTTACTGTCTGTTATTATATTCATGGGCTCCTTGCATTTATAGAACGAGTACCAGACAGCATATAATTTGTTTTGTTGAGTAGATGTAAAGGGAGTTGTTAGTACTTGCAATTCTTGTTTTTGAGGACACCATATAGAAGCTTTATTGTGTTCAGTTGCATCCTTAAACACATTAATACCTTTTACAGGGTTGTGGGAAGTAATAGTAGGACATATCCAAGGCCAAGTTTCAAAAATATTGTGATATCTAAGAGGTTTGCCATATACCAACTTTAAATTAATATGTAATTGCCATATTGGAATTGTTTGCAAAGCTGATTCAATCAAATGTTGAGCAAAAGGAAGGTGAATAACATCTGGATGTTTTCCACTCAAGAGAAGACACCTCTTATCAGTTTTATGTATTAAGTCTCCCACCAATGTCATGTAAGTACTCAAAGTATTCTTTTGTTGAGAAGGTAGATCGATCCATTCTAAAAGCATCTGTTGTTGATGTAATACAGCTGTTGGTGAATTGGGTGTGTTGAAAATAGAAGCTTCAAGGTCTTTCCCTACCTCTATCCGTTCTGTATGTTCTCTAGTCAACAAACATTGTTCTGTGTAATCACTGCTTTTGCTGCTGGGGTTAATTTTCTAGGGGAGTCCAATCGAGGGTCTCCTTTAAGACACTCATATAAGGGTAGTAATTGATAATTGGGGATTCCAACTTGTGTTCTAAGCCATTGAATGTCACCTATGAGTTTTTGAAAGTCATTCAAAGTTGTTACCGCATCTAGATCTAATTTTGGTGGGTGCACAGTTATTCTATCCTGCATGATTTGATGCCCTAGGTATCAGAATGGAGAGTATCTTTGTACTTTTTCTGGAGCTATTCTGAGGCCCTGACTGATTAGCACTTTTTGGGCGATGATTAACATGTCTTCTAAAAGGTCTGGATCTGGATGAGCACACAGAATATCATCCATATAATGTATATAAATTGCTTCAGGATATTGTTTTTGTAAAGGCATTAAGGCTTTATCAACATAGCATTGACAGATAGTTGGGCTGTTTTTCATCCCTTGAGGAAGCACTTTCCACTGATATCTTTTATACGGTTCTTGAATATTTATACCGGGAACAGAAAATGCTAATCTCTCTCCGTCTTGTTCATGTAGAGGTATTGAAAAAAAGCAGTCTGCTATGTCTATCACTCATAGAGGCCAACCTCTAGGAATCACATTAGGTGAAGGAAGACCTGGTTGTAATGCACCCATAGGTTGTAAGGTGTCATTTACTTTTCTTAAATCAGTTAACATTCTCCATTTACCTGATTTCTTTTTAATGACAAAAACTGGTGAATTCCAGGGGCTGGTGCTCTCTTCTATATGTCCTTCTTGTAACTGTTGTATTATCTCTTTTAAGGCAGAGATTTTTTCTTGGTTAAGAGGCCACTGTTCCACCCATACAGGTGCATCTGATTTCCAATTCATTTTTATGGGTTCTATAGGGGTGTACTCTGCCTCATCAGTAGCCTTTACCCAAAATGTATAGTCAAAGTCAGGTGTAATTGAGATAAAATATCTCCCCCAGAGAGTAACTGGCAGTCCTTGAACTATATATGGATAAATTTCTCCCGTTCTACCCTCTTTTCCCCATCTAATTGGATATATAGATACTTCTGTATCTTGTTTCCCCCCTATTCCTGTTAATTGTTGATAAGCAGATTGTTTTTTCCAATGTATTGGCCAAGAGTGTTCTGGAATAACTGTTTTATCAGCACCTATATCTAATAGACCTCTAAAAGGAATCCCATGAAGGGTTATGACACACATAGGTCTGTCTTGTGTAAGCATTGTTGTAAATAACACTTCTGGATCACCTGTTTTGGGAGGTTTCCATTTGCTATCTAAAATATTCCCCAGTTTTGCTCTATTGAAAATCAAACCTTGAGCTATTACCTGTTCCTCTTCTATGAAAGTATCATCATCATTAATGTTAATAATGGGGACGTGTTTTAAAATGCCATCAAACACCACAGTATGTGGAAGAAAGGTAGTATATTCATAAGTTGTAGGGGAAATGGTAATAGCAAATATTACTGGTGTTACTAGAGGAGTAGGGAATACAGGCACTGCACAGCAAGAATGAGCTGGGAGCCGAAAATACCCCGAACTCCTTATCAATATAATATCTATTGAGGGGGAGTTTTCATGGCTACCAGAGTGGCATACCTGCTTTTCCATTCTCTTTCTGTATCCGTTACTGGTTGAGTCTCTGAAGTGACCATCCCCCTTGTGGACTCTGAGCCATTCCCTACTGTTTTTGTCTCTGAAACGGGGCCCGTGGAGAAGGGCCCCTGAATCCATTTCCCTGACTCATTCGGCATTCAGAAGCCCAATGTCCTGGTTGCCTACATTTTGGGCATGGAGCAGAAGGACCTTGATCAGGAAATTTCCGTCTACAATCCTTCTTAAAGTGTCCTGCTTTTCCACATCGGAAACATGTCTTTTGTCTATACCCTCCTTGCGTTGTGGTCATGAATTTGCTCATTTTTTCAGCTAACATATCTACATAAAATGTGTGTGACCCAACACTTTGACATCTTTTAATTCTTCAAGGGAAGTTTTGAGACGTGCACCAGCCATTGCCCTTTTACAGTCAGCATTGGCATTAGCACGGACTAATTGTTTTAACATGAGATCATCCCTGGCACATCACCCACAGTCCTTTGCATGGCTGCTGACAATCTTGCAATAAAATCAGTGAACTGTTCATCATTTCTTTGCTTAATAGAAGCAAATGGCTCATTAGTATCTTTCTTACTAGGGATTTTTTTCCAAGCTGCAATAGCACATGATGCAGTTCTCTCATATGATTCAACAGGAAGGTTAATTTGTTCGTTATTGTTAGACCATTGTCCCTGTCCAAATAATTGTTCATACATAATTTGAGCCTGTCCAGGAGCAAGCTGTAAAAATGTTTGTCTGCATTGCTCCGAGAATTCAGCTAAGCAATATATACTGTCTCCAGGACTTAGACATGCTCTAGCTATAGCTTTCCAATCATTAGGAGCCAAAATGCTGTAAGCAATACTCTGTAACTGCAAGATTGTATAGGCAGAAGTACATCCATATAAAGTACATGATTTTTTAAAAAATCCTTAATCAGAGTCAAATCAATTGCATCATGTCTTCGTCGTGTCTGCTCAGTTTTGTTAGGATCATTTTCTTCTATGACTGGATAAAATTTTAACGACCCCAGGTCTCCTAATTCCTGTCCCTTACTTACCTTAAGTGCCTTTTGTAAAGGTGTCAATTCGACTTGTAATTTCATTACGTTTCCACCAGGTGGAGTGCTTAATTCATAAAAATGTCCTGAGCCTATTGTTTTCTCACATTGCTTTTTTTACAACAGGCACTTTCTCATGTCTCACGGTTACAGTTGCTCCTCCATTGTTGTGTTTTTAATAACATCCCATGGGGGAGGGGGATCTGGCCATTCCATCTGCTTGTTACTTTCATCCAAATCAGGATACAACCTGGAAATCCTTGGACCTCTTCTCTCTGGTGATGGGTCCCTGCTATTTTCCTTACTATCATTTAGAGAACGTAATGAAGATGTTGTTTGGGTACAGGCAGGGAACTTTCTTTTTTCTCCCTGTACTTCAGCTTGTAAGCCCATTTTTATCAAATTATATATGGTGAAAGTACCAAGGGGAACAGACTTTGGGCCTTTAGTGTTATAATATTCAGTTAGCTGTTCACCCACAATTTGCCATTGAGTCAAGTTCAAACTTCCTTCCCTAGGTAACCAAGATGAAGTTATCTCAATGATATCTAAAAACTCTCTTATTTTCCTAGGAGTTACCGAGCACCCCTGTTCCTTAATAACTGTACAAATCACCTGAACATTTTGTTCTTTGTCTGAGAGTTTACCTAAACTTTGCCCAATGATAAGTTATGTAATGTGCATAAATCTTACCTACCTGTAATCTTTCAACAGCTACTCGTCAGGTCCTCCCTGGCTCCAACAGACCTCGGTGTCTGAGTGGGTGTCGAGTCTTCTTTGTCCAGATGATTCCCGACTGTTTCATGCAGCTGTCTTACTCTCTGCAGCCCCGATCGGCTTCATGGCAGCAATGCAGCCCCATGTTGGGTGCCACTTGCACGCGTCCAGCTCAGTGGCTGTGAGAGTCTTAAACTCTTCCTCCCCAGGAATGCTAAGGCCAGCTTAGTTCCTGATACCCTGCGCCGAGCAGTGAGAGGCAGGGAGACAAGATGGTGAAGCTCCGTTTATTCAAGGCACAGCACAGCGTTTTATATCTTTGACTCATGGGAACATACCCCAATGTAACAGCGGACAAAGCAACAAAGCTTACGTATCTTTACCAACATGCAACACCGAGCATTTTTCTCATGTGAATACCAAAGTATCAACAAGTGCATTTCTTTGCAATATTATCCTGACTGTGTCCTTCTCCCGCGCTGTTCCTGTAAAAACACCATGTGCTTCTTGTTCCCGGAATGTTCCCAGTATTTGATACATATTGGTGCTAGAGCTGACTGTGCTTGAGCTGGCGACATTGTTTATGGTTGAGTTTGCCTAGCGTTAGAGTTCTGCTGCCTGGGAGGTGCAAGGTCCGTGGATGGAGAACCGAGCCAGGATATTCTGCTCATGTACTAACACCCGAGAGGGGCCTTCACCCATCAGTGAAGTCTCATGAACAGCCTGTGGACCTCAATGTCCTACAGATCCCTAACAGAAGCCCAAAAAGCCTTCTTAGAAGAGCTCAAGAAGGATTTTAATAGTCAAATGAGAGAGGTAGAAGAGTCCTTCAAAAATACAATTGGCCAATTGGAAAAAAAATACACTGAAGAAAACAAGTCCCTAAAAAACACAATTGGCCAATTGAAGAAGGAAGTACAAAAACTAACAGAAGAGTACACTGAAGAAAACAAGTCCGTAAAAAAACAATTGGCCAATTGAAGAAGGAAGTACAAAAATAACAGAAGAAAACAATCTGTTAAAAACTAGAATTGGACAAATGGAAACTAATGTCTCTATGAGAGAGCAAGAATCAGTCAAACAGAAACAAAAAAATGAAAAAATAGATGAAAACATAAAATACCTCATTGGTAAAACAACCTACCTGGAAAATCGATTCAGGAGAGACAATTTAAAAATTATTGGACTACCTGAAAATCATGATGAAAAAAAGAGCCTGGACAGTATCTTTCAGGAAATCATAAAGGAAAACTGCCCTGAAGTCCTAGAACCAGAAGGGAAAATAACCATAGAAAGAATCCGTGATCACCACCTGAAAGAGATCCCAAATTGACAATGCCAAGGAATATAATAGCAAAATTCCAAAATTACCAGATGAAAGAGAAGGTGCTGCAAGCAGCCAGAAAGAAACAATTTAAATATCATGGAACCACAGTCAGGATTACACAGGACCTTGCAGCTTCTACATTAAAAGACCGCAGGGCGTGGAACATGATATTCTGTAAGGCAAAGGAGCTTGGAATGCAGCCAAGGATCAATTACCAGCAAAAATGAGCATCATTTTTCAAGGGAGGAGATGGATATTCAAAATAGGAGACTTCCAAACTTTCCTGATAAAAAGACCAGAGCTCAACAAAAAATTTGATCTTCAAGTACAGGACTCAAGAAGGACTTAAAAAGGTAAATGGGACAGAAAGATACAATATGTTGTTAATAAGGGGGGGGGATGTTTAAACCCCTACAAGGGAATATGACACTTGCAACCCTTGAGAACTGTGTTGTTATTACACCATGTTAAAGGAGTATACATAAAGAGGGTGGATATTAGTTGACTTTGATGTAATGATAAAAAAAAAACTAATCAAGTGGGTTAAATGGATCCAAATAAGTGGATCAATCTGATCTTAGAAAATGTACTGAGAAAGGAGGAGGCAGACAAGGGTAAATTACATTACAGGAAAAGACACAAAATCCTATTACAGCAGAGGGAAAGGGGGGGGGTGAGCATTGTTTGAACTTACTCTCATCAGATTTGGCTCAAGAAGGGCATAACATAATCAGTTAGGTATAGAAATCTAACTTGCCCTATAGGCAGTAGGAGGGAAAAGGGGAAAGAAAAGGGAGGGGGGGGAAAGAAGGGAGGGAAGAAGCAGTAAGAGTAAAGGGGAAGAAAAGGGAAAGGGATAATAAAAGGGAGGCAGGACTGAAGGAGGCGGTGGTCAAAAGCAAAACACTAGTGAAGGGGGGAAAATATGTTTAATAGGAATGTAAATGTAAAGCCTATATCAGATGTGCACCGTCTTGGGTAGGGTGGGGGGAGGAAAGGGGAGAAAAATTTTCAACTCAAAAGCATATGGAAGTGATTGTTGATAAATCAAAATTAAAAAAAAACAGAAGAAGGGATGATATCAAGGAGATATGGAAAGGCTTATCTACACAGAACAAGAAGAAAAATGTTTACTCATATCATTATTATAAAAGTAATTTTGAAGACTTTTCTAAAGTGCTAAAGAAGAACAGTACTGAGACATCAATTTATATAATAACAACATTGTAAAGTCAAACAACTTTGAAAGCTGTAAGAATTGTGATCAGTACAGGGACCATCCATGATTCCAGAGGATCGATGGCATAACATACTATCTACTTTCTGACAAAGGTAATAGAGTTAGTGTGTAGAATGAGGCACGTATTTTTTATGTAGCCAGCAAAGGAATGTATTTTGCTTGGCTCTGCATATTTGTAACATAGAATATATTTTTAAATGTGGTGGAGGATAGGAGGGAGATAATGTATGTGTGTGTGTGTGTATATATATATATATATATATATATATATATTTCCCTTAATTTAATATATAAAGTTTTGGGTGTTGCTACAGATGTGGAATGTTGCATGTACTTTCAGTTCAGGTCACTGTTGTTTATACTTAAAGGTTTAGCTTTTGTACAAGAAGTCTTTTACAGAATGGAAGTAACCTGTAAATGTAATGTAAAAAAATCACCTCAATAAAATCGTTTTAATAATAACAATAATATGTAAAATCAATGCAAGGTAATTTTAGCTATGATCAATCAATCATCTTCTGAACCATAGATAATAAATAAAGGGGATTCTGGATCTGTTATATATATGCCATCATTTGTGTTTCTGTTGGTTTTCCTTAAATGCTTTGTGTTAGAGAAAATCCTATCAGGGAGTTTAAGAAAAATAACTTTTAAAATTAAATTGCATCAGTAAAACTTATTAAAGAAACTCAAGTCTTAGTGAATTATAAAGTCAATATAAGTCAGTGTGATAGAGCAGCCAAAAAAAAAAAAGTGAAGTCTTAGGCTATGTCAAATGAGTTATGTTGTCTGGAACTGAGGATGTGATAGTCTCACCCTCCACTGCCCTAGTTGGAACACCTCGAGGGCATTTTATGCACGGCTGAGCACCATATTGTTTAAAGGACTTTGAAAAATATGAGTGTGCTCAGATTAGGGCAATCAGAGGGGTGAAGGTTCTCAATTTTATTCCATATTATGGATCAATTGCTGCCACTATGAATGTTTAACATGGATAAGAGATTTAGGGTAGGACATGGTAACTGTCTTCAAGTGTTTGGAGATCTGTCACTTGGAAGAAGGTTTAAAGTTTTGCTTGGTAGGGGTTGGGGGGAGAAAACAAGTATTAATAAACTCTTGTAGGACTTAAACCCAGTCATTCTTTAGGACTGTTAGATTCCAATTTTTTCTTTCTTTTTTTTGGGGGGGAATTTATTTAGTATTTTATTTTTCCACAATTACATGTAAAAACCATTTTAAACATTTGTTTTTAAAACTTTGAGTTCCAAATTTTCTCCCTTCCTCCTTCCCCCTCACCTCATTGAGAAAACAATCAATTGGATATAGCTTATACATGTTTAGTCATGCAAAACATATTTCCATATTAACCATACTGTGAAAGAAAACATAGACCAAAAAAAACCCCCAAGAGAAATAAAGTAGAAAAAAAAATGTTTCAATCTGTATTCAGACACCCATCACTTCTGTCTCTGGAGATGGATAGCATTTTTCGTCGTAAGTCCTTCAGAATTGTCTTGAATCATTGCATTGCTGAGAATAGCTAAGTCATTCATAGCTGATCATCTACAATATTACTGTTACTTTGTAGACAGTACATTTTACTTTGCATCAGCTCATGCAAGTCTTTCCAGGTTTTTCTGAAAGCATACTGCTCATCATTTATTATAGCACAATAGTATTCCATCACAATTACATAGTACAGTTTGTTCAGCCATTCCCCAATTGATGAGCATCTTCCCAATTTCCAACTCCCTGACACCAGAAAAGAGCTGCTATAAATATTTTTGTGTATATATAGGTCATTTTCCATTTTGTTTTTTATCTCTTTTTGAATACAGACTTAGTAGTGGCACTGATAGGTCAAAGGGTGTGCATGGTTTTATTGTTCTTTGGGATAGTTCCAAATTGCTCTAAATAATGGTTGAATCAATTCACAATTCCACCAATGGTGCATTAATGTCTCATTTTTTCTCCCACATTCCCCCCAACTCCTTTTCTTTCTTATTAGCCTGTCTAATAGGTATGAGGTAGTAGTACCTCAGAATTGTTTCAATTTGCATTCCTCCAATCAATACTGATTTAGAACACCTCATATGGCTATAGATAGTTTTGATCACTTCATCTGAAAACTGCCTGTTCATATCCTTTGACCACTTATCATTTGAGGAATGGCTCTTATTTTCATATTGATTCAGTTCTCTACATATTTGAGAAATGAGGCCCTTATCAGAGAAACTTGCTTCAAAAATTTTTTTTCACACTTATGATTGTTAAATGTATCTCCCTCCATCCTATTCCCCACTCCCACCCTCACCCTGGTTATTCTATTCTCTCTCTCCTTTCACCCTGTCCTTCTGTCTATGTATAATTCTAACTGCCCTAATAATATGAAAGTTCTTATGACTTACATATATCATCCCATGTAGGAATGTAAACAATTTAACACTATTAAGTCCATTATGATTTCCCTTTCCTGTCTACCTTTTTATGCTTCTCTTGAGTCTTATATTTGAAAATCAGATTTTCTGTACAGCTCTGGTCTTTTCATCAGGAATGCTTGAAAGTCTTGTATTTCACTGAATATCTATTTTTTGTCCCTAAAGGCTTATACTCAGTTTTGCTGGGTAGGTGATTCTTGGTTATAATCCTAACTTCTTTGCCCTCCAGAATATTATATCCAAGCCCTCTGACCCTTTAATATAGAAGCTGCTAAATCTTGTGTTGTTTCTTTCTTGTTACTTGAATTGTTTCTTTCTGGGGGCTTGCAATATTCTCTCCTATACTTAGGAGCTTGGGAATTTGGCTATAATATTCCTGGGAATTTTGGGTTCTCTTTCAGGAGGTAATTGGTGAATTCTTTCAACTTCTATTTTACTGTCTGGTTCTAGAATATGAGGGCAGTATTCCTTGATAATTTCTTGAAAGATGATGTCCAGGCTCTTTTTTCTGATCATGGCTTTCAGGTAGTTCAATAGTTTTAAAATTATCTCTGCTGGATATATTTTCCAGGTCAGTTCTTTTTCCAATAAGATATTTATTTCATATTGTCTTCTATTTTTTCCATTCTTTTGGTCTTGTTTAATTGTTTCTTGATTTCTCATAAAGTCATTACCTTCCATTTGCTCAATTCTAATTTTTAAGGAATTATTTTCCTTAGTGAGCTTTTGTACCTTCTTTTCCATTTGGCCAATTCATTGACTTTTTGTATCTCTTTTTGTACCATTTGGTCTAGTCTGTTTTTTAAGGTGTTATTTTCTTCATTTGTGTGTGTGTGTGTGTGTGTGTGTGTGTGTGTGTGTGTGTGTGTCCTTTACTAACCTGTTGAATCTTTTTTTGTGATGTTCTTGCATCATTCTCATTTGTCTTCCCAATGTTTCTCTTACTTGCTTTTCAAAATCCTTTTTGAAGAGCACTGGCCCTGGATTCAGAAGGACCTGAGTTCAAATCTGGCCTCAGACACATAACACTTACTAGCTGTGTGATCCTGGGCAAGTCACTTAACCCCATTGCCTAGCCAAAAAAAAAAAAATCTTTTTTGAGCTCTTCCATGGCCCAACACTAGTTCATATTTTTCTTGGAGGCTTTGGATATTGAAGTTTTGACTTTGCTGTCTTCTTCTGAGTGTGTTTTGATCTTTCTTGTCACCACTGTAACTTTCTGTGGTCAGAATTTTTTTTTTCTATTTGGTCATTTTTCCAGTCTATTTCTTGACTTTTAACTCTTTGCCAAAGTGGGGCTTTGCTTCCAGGGTGGAGGGTGCACTGTCCCAAGCTTCAGGGGTTTTGTGCAGCTGTTTTCAGAGATACTTCTAGGGACCTGTAAGTTTTCAGTTCTACCAAGGTGGTATGATCTAAGGAGAGGTGTGTTTACTACTCTTCTGACCTGTGCTCTGGTCTGTAAGTAACCACACTCTTTTCTGCCCTGGAAGTGTGAGGAGGGTCCCTCCTCCACTGTGATAGCAAGCTCTGCTGTGCTAGTGCTCCTTCTTGCCATAGGATTGCCATCCAGGACTGAGACCCAGATCTGAGTATAGGCAAAGCAACAGAGTCCTGTCCCCAGTGTCAGCAAAGAGACCCCTGTAATCTCCTTCTGACTGGTTGCTTGACCCCCTTTCTGTCTGTGGGCTGAGAGCCTCCAGAAGCAACCATGGTCACTGCTGATTCAGTGGCTCCCAAGGCATACTCCTGGTTTGCTTGGGCCTGATCTGTGCTGGTGGGACCTGGGCTGGACTGTGCTCCACTATCACCCCAGTGTGACAGATCTTTTCTGCCAGGTTTCTGAGTTGCCTTTTGCTGGCAAATTATTTCACCCTATCCTTTTGTGGGTTTTTTTCAGGAATTATTTTATGGCATTATTTATAGGGAGGGATTTTGGGAGAGATATTTTGGCATTGGGAGGGATATATTGGGAGGGATTTTGGAGAGAACTCAGGCAAACCCCTGCCTTTTCTCCGCCAGCTTGGCTGTGCCTCTCCAATTAATTTTTAATTTTTTCTTCAAAAGTCCTCTATTAAGTACAATTTTTTTATTGCATCATGTAAGAGATTGCATTATGCAATTATATATTATGAGATGTAGCTGGTATTTCTGAGTTTTGTGTTTTTGTTGCATTTTTGAGCATTTTATTCCCTAATATATGGTCAATTTTTGTGGTGGTATATCCTTTTCTATTCCTGTTCAATATTCTACAGTGTCCTATTGTATCTAACTTTTCTTAAATTCTATTCATGTCCTTCACTTTTTTTGGGGGGGTAAAATTTATCTATGTCTAACTAATTTAATTTGTCCTTTAAGAACTAAGATGATATCCATTGGGTGCATATATTTAGTATTGCTATTCATTGTCTTTGGTACCTCAGAGCAAGTTGGAGTTTCCCTGTTTCTTTTAATTAGATGTATTTTTTGCTGTTATTTTTCCCTTAGATCATAATTGCCACCTGACTTTTTTACTTTGGATATGGCAGAATAGATTCTACTCTATCCCCTCATTTTAATTTTGTGTATCTACTTCAATTGAGTTTCTTGTAGACATGTTATTGGATTCTGGTTTCTAATGCTGTCCTTTTCTGTTTTTATGGAAGTTCATTCCATGTGTTCTCAGTAATGATTGCTATGTATTACCCTCCATCCTATTTTCTTATACTTTTTGTCTTTTTTTTTTCCTATATCTTCTTTAAGTGACTGTTTTGGTTATGACTAATTCTGCTCTTAATTTGCCCACCTCCTTTCCTTCTGTTTTCTTATGGGGTGAAATGTATTTTCTGTATAAAACTATGTTTGTGTATATGTATTCTTCCCTCCTTTGAGGTCAGATAAGTGAAGTTCAAATGTCACCTGTTCCCCTCCAATCACTCCATTTTGTTGTATAAATTTCTACTTTCACACCTTATTTATGTGAAATAAATTTCCCCATTTTCTCTCTTCCTTCCTCTAGTCAATAAACATTTATTAAGTGCTATGTGCCAGGCACTGTGCTAGGTGCTGAAATGCAAATACAAAATAATCCAATCCACCTTGCCCTGAAGGAGCTTACAATCTAATGGGGAAAGAAAACACAAAAAGCTAAAAAGCAAGGAGGGGGGATAGAGGAAAAGGTACCCAAGATGGCACCATGGTGAAATCCCAAAGTAGTGCAAATAGGTAAGAAATGAGATATCCCAGGTGAGCTCCCTCCTTAGATGGAGATTTTGGAGTTCAAGGGCCTACTCTCCAAACAGAAGGGCAGAGAGAAATGATGAAGTGGAGTACCACGGCTGGTGGAATTTTGCAGGATGATTTCCCAGTAATGAGCTTCCTGGACCATGGTGAAGTCAGAGAAGTCTGAGTAGTGCATTCTTCCTCTCCTTTTCTCCTCTCCCTCTGTATTCCTCTTGCACACCCTTTCCATTCTAAGATCATCAAAACCTAACAGAAGCACTCATAGACCCTAAGTCGAATTATACTCCCTCTTTGGGGTTACTTGTATCATCTCTCCATAGAAGAATGTAAATAGTCTAACTTTAGTCCATTATGATTACACAGTCCATGTCTATTTTTTATGCTTCTCTTGACTTAGCATTTGCAGGTCAGATTTTCTACTCAGATACAGGATAAGTAGTTCTTGGATATAAGCCTAGATTGTTTGCCTTCTGGAATATCATATTCCATGTTCTTCCTGGTGGCTGCTAAAGTATGATCCTGACTGTGGTTCCATGGTACTTGAATTATTTCTTTGTGGATGCTTGCATTTTTTTTTTAACCTGGGAGCTCTGGATTTTAGCTACAATATTCCTAGGAGTTTTCATTTTGGGTCTTCTTTTAGTAGGGGACCAGTGGATTCTATTTCCATTTTACCCTCTGATTCTAAGAGCTCTGGGTAGTTTTAAGATTTCCTGAAACATGGTATCAAGGGTTTTTTAGTCATTGTGTGTAGGTAGTCCAATAATTGTAGGTGACTTCCAGGCCATTTATTTTTGCTATAAGATACCTCATATTTTTTTCCCTATTTTTTCAGTCTTTTCATAGTTTACTATTTCCTGATGTTTCACAGAGACATTAGCTTTAATTTGGCCAATACGGTTTCCCTAAGCCTCCCTGAACTGGAAAAAAATGACTCATTAATTAACTGTTTCTTGCATTTTTATAAAATGAGAATTTAGTCCAGTGCATTTTTTAGATCATTGTGGAGGCTGAGTGGGTGCACTAATCTGTACTTCTTCCTGTTACTCCAAACACTTGGCTCCACCCCCTGAATCTTCTAATGTTGAAAAAGTTCTGTCTTCCTGGAAAATACCTTTTAACATCCATTCATTAACCACTTTTCTCCCTTGCATGAATTTACTGGTGCCAATTAACAGGTTTTCTGAAGAAAACAATCTTTCCACATTCATTGCATTTATGCAGTTTTCTGTCCTGTATGAATATTTTGATGTTGAATAAGATGAGTTATAGCAAAAGGCCTTCCCACATTCATTGCTTTTATAAGTTTTTTCTGTGGTATGAACCCTACGATCTATATAGTTGGATCTGTTTTCTGACCAAAGGCATTCCCACATTAACAGCACTCACAAGGTCTCTCTTGCATGAATTCCATACTAATGCATAAAAGCTGTCCTCTGACAGACAGCTTTCAACATATGTTTTCCTCAAGTATGAATTCTCTGGTGCTAAGATTAATGCTCTGGACAAAGATCTTCCCATATTCATTACATACATAAAGTTTCTATCAAGTATGAATTCTATGATATGTAATAAGCATTGTCTTTTAAATGAAGGTCTTCCTATCTTAACTGTATTCATAAAGTTTCTCTCCAGCATGTATTCTCTGGTGTTGAATAAGTTCAGGAGACCAGAGAAAAGTCTTTCCACATTCATTATATTCAGAAAGTTTCTCTCCAGTATGAATTCTCTGATGTCTTCTAAGGTATGAATTCTGGCTGAAGGTCTTTCCACATTCATTGCACTCATAAGGTTTCTCTCCAGTGTGTGTTCTCTGGTGCTGAGTAAGATCTGCTCTCTTACAGAAGGCCTTCCCACATTCATTACATTCATATGGTTTCTCTCCAGTATGAATTCTCTGGTGATGACTAAGATTAGAACTGCAGACAAAGGCCCTGCCACATTCATTGCACACATAAGGTTTCTCTCTAGTATGGATTCTCTGATGGTCAATAAGGTGTGATTTACAGCGGAAGGCCTTACCACATTCATTGCACTTATAAGGTTTTTCTCCAGTATGTGTTCTTTGGTGCTGACTAAGATTAGTGCTTCGGACAAAGGCCTTCCCACATTCAGTACATTCATAAGGTTTCTCTCCAGTGTGAATTCTTTGATGAACTATAAGGTATGAATTTTGGCGAAAGGCTTTCCCACATTCAGTGCATTCATAAGGTTTTCCTCCAGTATGTGTTCTCTGGTGTCGAGTAAGTCCTGTGGACCGGAGAAAGGCCTTTCCACATTCACTACATTCATAAGGTTTCTCACCTGTATGAATTCTCTGATGTCTTCGAAGGTATGAATTCTGCTGGAAAGCCTTTCCACAATCACTGCATTCGTAAGATTTTCTTCCAGCATGTTTTCTCTGGTGCTGCGTAAGTTCGGTGGCCCGGAGGAAAGCCTTCCCACATTCACTGCATATATGAGGTTTCTCTCTAGAATGAGTTCTTTGATGCTCAGTAAGGTGTGAATTACAGTGGAAGGCCTTCCCACATTCATTGCATTTATATATTTTCTCTCCAGTATGAAGTCTCTGATGTTTTTGAAAACATGAAGTCCGGCGAAAGACCTTCCCACATTCATTGCATTCATGAGATTTTTCTCCAATATGTATTCTCTGGTGTCGAATAATTTCATAGCCCCTTAGGAAGGCCTTCCCACATTCATTACATACAAAAGGTTTCTCACCAGTATGAATTCTTTGATGTTCAGTAAGCTGTGACCTCCAGTGAAAGGCCCTCCCACATTCATTGCATTTATAAGGTTTCTCTCCACTATGAATTTTCTGATGTTTCCTAAGATATGAATTCTTCTGGAAGGCCTTTCTGCATTCAGTGCATTCATAAATCTTTTCTCCTCTGTGAATTCTCTGGTGCGGAGTAAGTTCAGTGTCCTGGAGGAAAGTCTTCCCAAATTCATTACAATTGGAAAATTTCTCTCCAGTATGTACTTTATGTTTTTCAGTACAGTCAAGATTATAGCTAAAGGATTTCTGACATTTATCGTCATTAGAAAATATTTTCTTTAAACAACTTCTATATTGTTTTACATTTGAATATTTTTTGAAGCTCTTTCTTTGTCTATTATATTTATGAAGAAGATTCTTTCCTACAAAAAATCGCTTCTGTGGCTGTAGAATAGAACTTTTGTCATTTTTATATTCATGGACACTCACTTCACTGCGGGACTTCCTTTTAGTGATTTTTATTCGTCTTAAATGTTGATCCTCCTTGCTCTCCTCCTCCTTTAACCTTGGATAACAATCCCAGCCTCCCCCCAACATCACGACCCAAGGAGCATCCCTCAAGAGTCTTTTTCTGGATGATTCTTCCACAGCAAGGCCAGACTCTAGAGGTGACTCTTGGACTTGAGGTCTAGTGTCTGAATCTGAAAGAAATAAAAACAGTAAATAACCTCTTTTCCCTAGATGAATCTGCTTTTTAAAATTTCTTCCTGCTTCCTTAATTTTCTTGATATTATTAGTAACAAAGCTGTAGTCAATGGTTATATTTATTCAGTCTAATTTACTCATTATCAATTCTTAGGAGTTACATATTTTTCTGTATTCCTATTTATCATTCCTTATGGCAAGATAATATTTTATTACATTGCTATGCCACAATTTATCTAGATAATCCCTACTATAACCAGCACAGGAGAACAAAGTAGCCAGGAAAATTTCTGCAGCAAAGTCTTAAGACTTTCATGCTTAGAGTAGAGTCCTAATAATGTAATTACAGGGTAAAAGAAAATGAAGGGTTTTAAAGCTCTTTTATTTTGCTTTCAAAAAACATTGCATCAAGTGACAGCTCTACCAAAAGTATAAACTCATCCTGGGTTTCCAACATTTCAAATGATTATATTAAAAAATCTATATATGCTAATTTGGGGGATACAAAAAAAGTATTTCTCAGAGTTTTTTTAATTTGTAGTTCCCTGATAAATGAACACTTTTGCATTAGATTACTGATGGGTTCTGGTGTCTTCTTTTTGTCAAGAAATGCCTGTTCAGGCAGAGCCAATGTGGTGGAAAAAAGGCAGGAATTTGCCTGAGCTCTCCCTACAACCTCTCCAAAGACTTTAAATAAGGCCCTAAAAGAAGCAGGGGAGCAGCAGAACCCATAAAAGGATAAGGTGAAACAATTTTCCAGCTCAAGACAACTTAGAAGTTTGGCAGGAAAGGTCTGTCACACTGGGGTGACAGTGGCGCACAGTCCAGCCCAGACTCTGCCAACTCAGATCAGGCCCAAGCAAACCAGGTACATGCCTTGGGAGCCACTGAATCAGCAGTGGGCATGGCTGCTTCCAGAGCTCTCAGCCCACAGACAGAAAGGGGGATCACGCAGCTGGTCAGAATGAGATTACAGGGGTCTCTTTGCTGGCAATGGGGACAGGACTCTTGCTTTGCCCATACTCAGATCTGGGTCTCAGTCCTGGGTGGCAATCCCATGGCAAGGAGGAGCACTAGCACAGCAGAGCTTGCTATCACAGTGGAGGAGGGACCCTCCTCACACTTCCAGGGCAGAAAAGAGTGCGTGTGTGTGTGTATGTCTGTGTATGTCTGTGTGTGTGGTTGCTTACAGACCAGAGCACAGGTCAGAAGAGTAGTAAACACACCTCTCCTTAGATCACACCACCTTGGAAGAACTGAAAACTTACAGGTCCCTAGAAGTATCTCTGAAAACAGCTGCACAAAACCCCTGAAGCTTGGGACAGTGCACCGTCTACCCTGGAAGCAGAGCCCCACTTTAGCAGAGAGTTAAAAAGTCAAGAAATAGACTGGAAAAATGACCAAATAGAAAAAAAATTCTGACCACAGAAAGTTACTATGATGACAAGAAAGATGAAAACACACACTCAGAAGAAGCCAGCAAAGTCAAAACTCCAACATCCAAAGCCTCGAAGAATATACAGTGGGCTCAGGCCATAGAAGAGATCAGAAAGGATTTTAGAAATCAAGTAATGCAGATAGAAAAACATCTGGAAGAGAAATAAGAGTAAGGCAAGAAAATCATGAAAAAAGAATCAACAGGTTAATAAAGGAGACACAAAAAAACCTGAAGAAAATAATACCTTAAAAAGCAGACTAGGCCAAATGGTAGAGAGGTATAAAAAGCCAATGTGGAGAAGAATGCCTTGAAAAGCAGAATTAACTAAATGGAAAAAGATATAATTCCTAAAAATTAGAATTGAGCCAGTGGAAGCTAATGACTCTGTGAGACACCAAGAAACAATTAAGCAAGACCAAAAGAATAAGAAATAGAAGACAATATGAAATAAATATCTTATTGGAAAAAGACTGACCTGGAAAATAGATCAGGAGAGACAATTTTAAAAATACTGGACTAACTGAAAGCCACGATCAAAAAAAGAGCCTTTTAAGAAATTATCAGGGAGCCACACGGTAAAACAGAAACTGAAAAACTCCACCAATCATCTCCTGAAAGAGATCCCAAGACGAAAACTCCCAGGAATACTATAGCCAAATTCTAGAGCTCCCAGGTGAAGGAGAAAATACTAGAAGCAGTCAAAAATAAACAATTCAAGTACAATGGAGCCACAGTCAGGATAACCCAAGATTTAGCAGCTTCTATGTTAAAGGACTGGATGGCTTAGAATATGATATTCTGGAGGGCAAAGGAACTAGGATTACAACCAAGAATCACCTATCTAGCAAATGTGAATAAAATCCTTCAGAGAGAAAAAATGGATATTCAATGAAATAGAGGACTTTCAAACATTCCTGGTGAAAAGACCAGAGCTGTATACAAAATCTGACTTTCAAATACAAGATTCAAGAGAAGCATAAAAGGGTAAACAGAAAAGGGAAATCATAAGGGACTTTTTAAGGTTAAGCTGTTTACATCTCTACATGGGAAGATAATACTTCTAACTCATAAGAACTTTCTCATTATTAGAGTAGTTAGAAGGAGTATATATTGACAGAGGGCACAAGTTTGAGGCCAATATAATTGGGATGGTATATAAAAAACAAAAGTAAGGGGTGAGAAGGAGGAATGCACTAGGACAAAGGGAAAGGGAGAGGTAGAATGGGGTAAATTATCTGACATAAAAGAGGCAAGAAAGAGCTTTTACAGTGGAGGGGAAAGGGGAAGTTCTGGGGGAGTGAATGAACCTTACTCTCATTAGAATTGGCTCGGAGGGCATAACATACACACTCAATTGGGTATAGAAATCTATCTTACCCTATAGGAAAGTAGGAGGGAAAGTGGATAAGAGAAGGGAGGAGGGTGAGAGAAGAAGAGGGCAGATTGGGGGAGGTGGTAGTCAGAAGCAAAACACTTTTGAGGTCAGACAGGGTGAGAGGAGAGAGAGAATAGAATAAATGGAGGGGGGAGTGAGAAATAGGATGGAAGGAAATATAGTTAGCAATCATAACTGTTTCTCTGATAAGGGCTTCATCTCTAAAATATATAGAGAAATGAGTCAAATTTACAAAAAATAAGAGACATTCTCTAAATAATAAAATATATGGTCAGTTTTCAGATGAAATAATCAATGCTATCTATATCCATATGAAAAAATGCTCTAAATCACTACTGATTGGAGAAATGCACATTAAAGTAATTGAGGTAAAACCTCATACCTATTAGATTGGTTAATGGGACAGAAAAGAAAAATGTCAAATGTTGGAGGGGATATGGGAAAATTGAAACACTAATGCACTGTTGGTGGATTTGTGAATTGCTTCAACCATTATGTAGAGCAATTTGGAACTATGACCAAATATTTATAGCAGCTCTTTTCTCGTGGCAAAGAATTGGAAATTGGGGAATGGCTGAACAATTTCTGATATACGATTGTGATAACATATTACTATGCTATAAGAAATGATGAGCCAGATGCTCTCAGAAAAACCTGGAAAGACTTATATGAACTGCTGCAAAGTGAAGTGAGCAGAACCAGAGGACACTGTAGAAAGTGTAAGATGATCACCTATGAATGACTTAACTATTCTCAGCAATACAATGAGCCAAGACAACTCTGAAGGATTTATGATGAAAAAATGCTATCCATCTATGAACAGACAGTTCTCAGATGAAGAAATTAAAGCCATCTATAGTCATATGGAAAAATGCTCTAAATCATTATTGATTAGAGAAATGCAAATCAAAACAACTCTGAGGTACCACATCACACCTATCAGATTGGCCAACATGACAAAACAGGAAAATGATAAATGTTGGAGAAGATGTGGGAAAATTGGAACACTAATACATTGTTGGTGGAGTTGTGAAATGATCCAGCCACTTTGGAGAACAATTTGGAACTATGCCTAAAGGGCTACAAAAATGTGCATACCCTTTGATCCAGCAATAGCACTTCTAGGGCTATATCCCAAAGAGATCAAACAAATGGGAAAAGGACCCACATGTACAAAAATATTCATAGCAGCACTTTTTGTGGTGGCAAAGAATTGGAAATTGAGAGGACGCCCATCAACTGGGGAATGGCTGAACAAGTTGTGGTATATGAATGTAATGGAATACTATTGTGGTATAAGAAATGATGAACACTCTGACTTCAGAAAAACCTGGAAAGACTTGTATGGTCTGATGCTGAGTGAAGTGAGCAGAACCAAGAGGACTCTGTACACAATAACAGCCATGTTATGCAATAACTAAGATTGTTAAAATGAATCCTTCTCAGCATTATGAGGATCTAAGACATCTCCAGAGGCCTCAGGATAGAAAATGCTGTCCTCATCCAAAGAAAGAACTATGGAAGCCAAATTGCTATCACTTATTTTTACCTTCTGTTGAGTTTTGTTTCATCTTTCTGATGGTTCCTCCTATTGGTTTTAATTTTTACTTACAACTTCACTAATGTGAAAATATGTTTAATAGGAATGTAAAGGCAAAGCCTATATCAGATTGTGTGCCGTCTTGGGGAGGGTGGGGGGTAGGAAGGGGGAGAAAAATTTTCAACTCAAAAGCATATGGAAGTGATTGTTGATAAATCAAAATAAATTAATAAAAAAAAATGCTATCCATCCCCAGAGAAAGAAATGATGGAGTCTGACTAGAGATAGAAGCATACTTTTTTTAAATTGTATTTTTCTTGGTTTTTTTTTTTTTGGTCTGTTTTCTTTTCCATCACTAATATGGAAATGTTTTGCATGACCATGTATATAACCTATATCAAATTATATGCCTTTTCAATGGGGTGGTGAGGAGAAGGGAGAAAATTTGGAACTCAAAGTTTTAAAAATGAATGTTGAAAAGTAAGTTTACATGTAATTGGGGGGAAATAAAGCAGAAAATTTTAAAAAAAAAAGAAAAAAGAAATGCCAGATCTACTGGTGACTGGATTGTAGCCTGATTTATTTACGTCTACTTATTACCTGGGGTCTTGAAGGTCTATTCAAAGGGCTTTATAGTGAAAAGTAAAAGGGGGCTATCCATCAAAATCTACTTCAGCATTAGACTGCAGGTCTAACTGGACACATGTCTAATTCTTTACCACATCTCAAAAAGCAGCCTGAGCACCTCGGAACCAGATCTGTCTTCTGAGCTAATAAAGAAAAAGGGGAAATGGTAGTCATGCTGGGACACCTGTTTCCCCTTCAGCTCTTCCTCTGGCACCAACTGATAAGAACATGTCTCTTTTGGAAGCTGCTTATTTGAAAGAGCAAGTGATGGGGAAGGAGGGATGCCTCAGAAGTCAATCCTAGCCCTGTTCCCTTCCAGGAAGAGTGAGAAGTCTGGTTGGACCATAAGTGAGTACAAGAGGCACCCGAAAGTTGGTCTGGTTTGAGCTCCTAATGAGTATGGGCGACGGGTAGCTGGGCAGATAAAGGGTTAAAAAGATTGGTTCATGTGACCTGCAAATCTCCAGACTTGGAACTCAACCCCATTACACTTCTGGAGTGCTGCGAGTTGGATGTCAACTCTTTGGGAGTATGATGTGTGAATACACAGTAGCAGGTACAAAAGAGTTCATAAAGCTTTAATGATGTTACTGTTAGGGGTGTACCCTAAGGAGAGCACTGAAAGCAGATGAGGACCACTTTATACAAATACAGTCAACTTCAAAACTATAATTTGTAATACCAGAAAGCTAAGAATAAGCCTGTGGTCCAATGTCTGGGTCACACGTAGCTGGACAAAGTCTGGCATGTGACAATATCATCTGACCTTCATAATTGTGTTTTCCAACTAAATTAAATGGAATAAGAGGAGAAGTATGGGGAGAAGGATGACATCGTAAGAAATACAAGATCAGAAACCATACAATGACTACACATGGAAAAAAAATAAGCAACAGAATACTAAAACTAGGGCACAGAGACAGATATCACAAGGGGATGCAAAGGAAAAGAGGACACGTTTCTTATCATTTCCTTCAAGTTAACATTCAGAAGAGCGAAAGAATTGATCTCAGGAGCAGCAAGATAGGCAGTGCTGAATACGTCCTGAGGTCTAGATGAAGAGTTTTCAACAATCATAACACACCTAAGGTTTCTCCAAAACAAACTGATATTGAGTCCAGTGATTTCTCAGGACAAAACACTAGATTCAACCATTTTATTCTCATAAACTTTCTCTCCAAAGTCTTGAGTCTGATGCCAAATAATATACTTTTTTAAGGAAGAAATTCCCAGATTAATTATGTTTTCTGAAGTTTCTGGCCAGCATCTCTCACTTCACATCAGCAGAAAACAAAGGCATTTCCTCCCTCCACTTGCCTTCCACACAACTATTTCTTGCACGGGACTGGAGCTGAAAGCTCTTTTTCTGTGGATCCCATTTATGGAGACTCTATTCTACGGATAACTTCAGGATGGTACATTCAGAATTGGATGGGACTTGGAGGCAGGAAGCACAATGCCACGACGGCACTCAAGTCCAGAATCACAGGGGTAAGGCGCGTGAGGTGCAGTTAGAATACACCTGTGTATACATTGCCCTATGGAGCCGTCAATCTGTTTTACGGCAATTCTTCAAAGCTTCTGCTCCCTGCAGCGTATGCCCGGGCACTCACTTTGGTGGGAGGACTTCTGTTGGTGATTTTGACGTTTCTCCGATGTTTCTCCACCTTGCTCTCTAACCTGGCATCAACTAGGCTTCCCCAAACTTACAGATAAAAGGACTAATCTCTTACAAATCTTCATTGGGATGGCTCGGATATTAAAATGTCCAGCTAGGTTGTCTGGGCCTAGTCTCTCACTCAAGAGAAAAACAGAAAATGCCCTAGTCACCCTGCTGCACGTCTTAGACTAGGCTGGTAGTGAGTGTGTTTGCCCTTCCTGGAGATCTTCTGGTAGAGAGCCTAGGGTATGGGTTGGCCCAGGTGGGGATCAGGTCCTCTTCTGCTCTGAGATTCAAGGATCTATGATAAAGCAATGACTGAAGAATGGAAGAAAGCAAAGAACCATCCCCTAGTGAGCTTTCTGTGAGACCAGAGGGACAAGAAAAGTCAGCTACTTGAGGGACTGAGAGGAAGATGTGGTGCTATATAGGCGCTCATGACAGACAACCTCAGCTGTTTTTTTGCAGGTGTAGAGAAATGGAAAACAGGTCCCCATCTACACATATACACCAGCAATGACTCTCTGAGCTGTTGCATAACACAACTCAATCAGCTGGTTTTCACTCACTCACCTGGATGCCTGCTTCTTGGAAATCGACCTTCAGGTCTCCAAGGTGCCTCCCCTTGCTCCAACTGAGAGATCACATCTGGCTTGGCAACCACAAAGCCTGGTCAATGGAAACAGCACAGTGGGTAGGCGGAGAGAGAGAGAGACACCTCAGTCCTAGCCCCCCCGACCCCTTGCAAGAACAGCTGGAATGCAGGATTGTCCAAAGGGGAGTGCAAGACACATCTGAAGGATGTTCTGGTTGGTGTTCTAAGGAAACATGGGGAAATGGAGCACATGTAGGTTTGGGCTCAGAAAGAAAATTGGTTCATGTAACACACCTCCTGCTAAGATGATCTGGAACCTTCCTGTCTTCAAAGACCTGCACTGGGAATTTAGGGAGAAACTCTGGTCTGAGAGTACAGAGACAATGAGGTACAAGACAATGAAACGGTCAGTTTCCAGTTTTGCAAACACAGAACCGTATGGCGGACAACAGCTATGTTGAGGATCCCATCTCTTGGCTGTAAAAACATTCTTCGGCCTCTTCTGTTTTCTGAAGCCAAAGAATCACAGCTAAACAGTAGAGCATCCCCCAGCATATCCTAAGGGAAGCCACAATTACCCTTCAATGGGCAGATCCTGAGTCCCAGGGGAGCCTCCTTACCCAGGCTGACCAGGTTCCTGTAGTTCTCCAGCATCACCTCCTGGTACAGCTCCTTCTGGGAGGTGTCCAGGTAGCCCCACTCCTCCCAGGTGAAGTCCACAGCCACATCCTTGAATGTCACTGATTCCTGAAATAGTCATTCATTCATTCATTCATTCAATAAACAGAAGGGCCTCCCCCGGCACCATCATCTGATGAACCTTGGGGGAGGGATGGAATATGCAGGAATCATCAAAGACTGAGTCTCCCTGTTCAGCCCCCAGCGGGCTCAAAGCCAAACATTCATTTCATCCCTCCTAACTTATTGAGCTTATAGTATTTTCTGAAAATAGGTTAAAAAAAATATTGTAACATGCCACGAGCCTCGAATGTTATGATAAATGAAGGCCCCAAGGTCAGAAGAACCGGACCATGGCCAGAATGGTCCCTTTCCTTCTCAGGGCTTTGTCTGATCACGGCCCCATGGTTTAGAGCTGGCTGGGACCCAGGAGGTCACCCATCACAGGAGGGCTTCCGAGACTCGCCAAGGTCAATGGGTGGCTGGGCTGGGATTCAAACCAAGATCTGTGAGCGTATGGCCTGGCACACCATAGGCGCTTAAGCAATGTGCATGTAAGTATGGGATGGAGTCAGTGGCTGCACTTGGGGAGGAGGAGGGTCCCACTCACCTGGGGGGCCATGGCTTCCTCTCTGCTCTTCTGCCCCTAGGGCCAGGCAGGGTCCTCTCCTGGGGAGGAGAAGGAAGCTGTGAGAGGTGGGGGGGGGGAAGTGAAGGCCGTGCTTCTGGAGGATGGCCCGGCAGAGGCAAAGGCACAGCTTTGGGAAATGAGCGCAGGGCCAGATCTCAGACAAAGGCAGAGATGCTGAGCCCTGGCCCCGTTTCCCAGGGGGGTAAACTGAGGCAGCGCCCCGTCCAGGAAGCACAGGTCCCCGGTGGATACTGACACAGAGACATAGCCAGGAGGGCTTTGGGGAGTGACAGGAGGGAGCCGGGGGAGGAGGAGTAATGGGGGGAGGGCAGCAAAGTCACCTCCCATTGGCTCAAATCGTGAGAAGGGGTGTGGCCAGAGGAGGCCCACGGAGCCTCCCCTGGTGGCCAATAGGCGCCTCTTCTCAGGGAGGGGGCGGGGAAAAAGGAGCTAGAGAAGTACAGTGCGCAAGCGCGTTGAGCGCTCCTTCTTCCCTCTCAGCACACCCTAAAACAGGTAGGGACAGAGGTTCAGTGCGCCCCGGGGGCCGCAGACGGGCACCCAGGGGCCGGACGGTCTGTCAGGCTGCTCCCCCTTCCTGCCCCTGGGCTAAGTGGCCGTGCCTCACCTCCAGCGCGCAGATCCCGCTCAGGGACCCCCTGCTGGACTGAAGTGACTGTCGGGACTGAAAGCGGCTGGAAAGCGGAAGTTACGTCATGCGAAGGCTGCGCCTTCCCCGTCGCGCCTTCTGGGAAACGTAGTTCGGAGGGCGGGAGAAGTTGATGCGCATGCGTACTGAGTCCGGGCTTATCAGCATATTGAGGGGTCACTAAAGGTCGTTCACGTACCCATATCCTCGCTGCCCCCAGACTGAAGGAAAGCTGAATCGTGCAGCTCCCGAGCCTCCTGCATGTCTGTTTCTTCTCCCTCCATGCATGGCCCGAGCCTTTTCCGCCTTACTGACCTTACTCCTGGCAGCCAGCGGGCCCACTTGCTCGAAGTCTGGGTTTAGAGGCAGCAGGTCATGAGTTCGAATGCAGCGCTTCCTTAGCCTGGTGCTTGCCTCAGTTTCCTCATCTGTCACATGGGGTCTGTGTAATTACAGCACCTGTCCCCCCAGCCTTGTTCTGGACGTATCAGTAAAGCTTGACTGTGCAGTGGGAGCTGACCGGCCCTCCCCTCTTGGGCCCTGTGACACCCCTCCCCAGTCCTCAGCTAACTAGCATTTATTAAGCGCCGTTTGGAGGCAGGTATTGTAGTGTGGAGGAAGCCAACTGAGAGCTGGAAGATGTCTCCCCAGGAAAAGTAACCGGGGCAGTGCAGACAGACTCAGCCTGTATTTCAAGCAACGGAGTCTACCTTGGAGACCCCCACTCTTTTAGGGAGCTGCTGCCCCACCGAGATATTCCGGGAGTTAACTGCGCAGAAGACGTCCTCCCTGCAACAAACCTGGTCTTTGCAACTCCCGAGACCCCCAAGGCCAAGACGTTCTCCTCAAAACCTCCTGGTGGCCTGTCTTTCAGACTTCACCTCCCTCTGTTCCTTATTTCCTATTTGTTTGTCGTGAGCTCCAGAAAACAGGGAGTGTCTCTAGCCTCTTCTTGACTGCTTGATAAATGCTTCCTGATGACCGAGCAGCTTCACCGCACAGCCTCCTTTGCTAGTAAATGTTATCGTTGCTCCAGAGTTGTGGGAAACGCCATAGGTGGGTGTGTCCCCCTCGGTTCCTTGGAGTTGCTAGCCACCTGCCACCTGCCACCTGCCACATACCCATCTGCCGATGCTAATTTTGCATTTATTGACTCCCAGTCAAACTGAGCAAGGTGGAAAGAATTTTAAATTAAGGGATGTACATTGGTTTAACTGACTATAGTATGCTGTAGACATAACTTTTATATGCACTGTGTGACTCACTTTATTGCAATATTTACTTTATTGCGGTGGTCTGGACCCAAACCCACAATATCTCCAAGGCGTGCCTGTATTTCCTGTCATTGGAATCATTCAGAGTGTGATAGTTGATGTCTGTTGTTCTCTTCTACTTTTAAGTTCTATGTGGATCTTATCAGATGTACGATTAGAGGGGTTTTATGGTAAATGTGATGCACTGGGGTTATGACTTATAAGAGGAAGCAGAGGATAGTGGGAAAAGCACAGGATTGGGAGCTAAAAGACCTGAGTTTGGTGTAGACCTGTGTTGCATACTAGCAATGTGCCTGAACAAGTGACTTAGCTTTTCCTAGCCTCAGTTTTCTGATCTGCAAAATGGGGGTATTCTACACTTGTGTTGTTAGACTGGAGTGATGCTACCAAGTGGTTTGTAAACTCCAATAGCTGTCACAGATGAGATATTGTATTTATTTTATTTCATGATTCAGAATCTGATGAAAACTCGGAAGTCTGGCCCCTGAGGGCTATTAATGCTTGGTACTTTTTGGAGCCTTGCTGCTCTTGCCATGCCAGTGTGAAGGATGACTCTTGGGCAAGCACAAATATACTCAGTGTTTCAGGGGTCAGTGACATTCAAGGATGTGGCTGTGGACTTGTCCTGGGAGGAGGTGGGGCAGCTGGGCCCTGCCCAGAAGGAGCTGTACTGGGAGGTGATGCTGGAGATCTGCAGGCACCTGGAATTTCTGGGTAGGGACGGCCTCTCCTGTGGGTAAGCACTGGCTCCATGAAGGGTCTTTCCCCCTCCCTGAGGAAGTGCAGTTGGCTCTGCTCTAAGTTAGCAGTTGCTATTTGAGCGGCACAGAACAGAGATCCCGAGTCCTTCTGGGACCCAGAGACGGGGCCCTTTGCTCCCTGCTGTCAGGCAAACAGTCCTTGCCTTGTGTAGCCCAAGACAGGTTGCTGGATTGTACTGTACCTGAGGTTCTGGGTCCCCGCTTAGGCATCAAATGTCTCCCTCGTCTGAGCGGGGAGAGGGTCAGTTGGACAGGCTCACCTTCTGATCCCAGATCTCCCCTGTGATCCATCCCCCACTTATTTCATAGGAAAACAATCCAGAAAGAATGCTCTTCTGTGGTCTTTGCATTGCCCTGGGGGGCTTCCTCCCAGGATCACTGCTGGGTTCTGAGCTGGCTCTCTAAGCCCAGCTCTTTTCTGTTTGGACTGAGCAGGCCTGGCTATTTCCAAGCCAGATGTGATCTTGCAGCTGGAGCGAGGGGAAGCCCTGTGGATGCCGGGGGCGAGGTGCTGAGGAGAAGCTGCCCAGGGGAGTCGGGTACCTGAGGCCACCAGCTCAGCTGCTCATGGCAGGGGCGGTGGGGTCAAGAAGAGAGGAGAGGGGAGAGGAATGTGGGATGTGTTGAGCAGGGAGCCCTCTTCAGAGATCCCCGGGCCTGGGGGACAGAGCTGTAGTGGTCTGGCATGAGTCAGTCGGTTGGTCACCAAGCATTTGTTAGACAGCTGCCATATTGTAGGCCCTTTCCTGTGTACTGGGGATGCAAACACAAAGCAGTCCCTGCCTTCAGGGTGCTCACTTTCAATGGGGGAACAGCACAAGTGCAGATTATATGCCAAGTAGACACAAGGCTCTGTTGTGGGTGAGGAAGGAAAGGGAAGGAAAAGTAGGGAGACGAAGGAGTCTAAGGGACTGAAGCAGGGATTCCTCGAGCTTCCTGGCACCAGATCACTCCACTTGTGGGTCCCTCTAGTCTAAAAGAACAGGGCTGCTTTCCCCTGTGTTGGGGTTGCCTTGAATCTTTTAATTCATTTAATTCAACCAGAGACTGAGCAAGCGCCCTCAGGGCAGTGTCCCTAGGCTGTGGTGATCCAGTCCCGACCCTTGAAGGTCTCTGTTAATGGGGAGCAGGCCACCTGCCAACGTTTAAAGTTGACCTTTCACAGGGAGAGGGGCCTGAAACTAAGGAGTTAGCGCCAGAGCTGGGTATTTCTAAGGCATAGCCATCCTTGAAAAGCCTCAGAAGTGGTGGTCTGTAATGCAGAACATTATTTTACCATTTAGGTAGTAGAACCCTTTAGGCCATGGAAAACTCCAAATTCCTTAGCAAGACCCTTATCTGGCTGCTCAGGCCACAGCCCTCAGATCATATCTCTGGAAGCCTCCATTGTGAGAAAGTTTGCACAGCATTATCATATCTACACAGAGGGAGAAGGGTGTCCTTGACCAGCCAGACTTCAAAGATCCATCCCCCTCCCTGTCCTGTATACTCCCTATATAAACCCTAGCTCAACCCCTGATGGGGCTGCTTGATTTGGATGTGAATATCCCTGGCAGCCGCGCGCTAATAAAGTCCACAATTTAAAATTAGCTTGGGTGGTCAACTCGCTCATTTCTCGGTATAACATTTTGGAGGCCCCAGCGAGATAGCAGCGTACCGTGTCGCTGCAGAGACCCACCTGGAGAGGACATCGGCCTCGGGAGGGGGAATTGTTCTGTTCTGACTTCTAGGGGAGCCGGCCCCTGATGATGTTCCAGGGCCCCAGGACTCAGGACTAGGAGAAGCCTCCCTCCCCGACTCCGACTGTACCTCATTTCGGCCCTCGTGGACCTGGTAACCCTCTGGAGGTAAATGTTTGCAAACCTGTTTTCTGGTGGGGAACGAGTGCCAGACGTGGCAGAGCACCTAATTAGTGCCTCAATCCCCCAGGCACCCCGAGACGTCGGGACTATGCCTGTATCTGGTTCCTGGTACCCGGTTTCTGGTTCCTGGTTTCTGTCTTAGTTCTGTTGGGCCCGTGTCTCGTTCCTGGTTTCTGTCTCAGTGTTGGTCTATTAGTTTATATGTGTAGAGATTGTGTTTTTAAGAGATTCTGTTTTGCAATCATCTGCCTGAAGCCACCTCTGTTTCATACTGAAAGACAGGTGTCAGACTGGATTGCAGACAGTTTTCTCCAGGGCAGTTCCTTTGACTTCATTGGGAGGATGTGTTAGTGTTCAGGCTCTTATTGTTTGTCTGTGTCTGTGTTCTGCAATAATGGGGGGATACGGCCAGTACATCATTTCCCTCCCTTTTGGGTTGTTTGCAGCCAGACAGCCAAAGGCTGCAGCAGGACTCTGAAAAGTTGCCTTCATTCTCCCCCTCTCCTCCCCAGGTAACAGCAGCTTCAAAGCAGTGCGTGGATGGGAGAGGGAAAGAGAGAAGAATACTTTATTATTTAGGTTATATGGTTGGTAGAGGGCAAGTTGGGAAGGATTTTTGAAGTGTCAGGTCAGAATTAGAAAGGAATGAGATATGTACAGGTTTTAAGGGGATTTTAAATCATTAGAAAGAAAGGCAAGGAAGTTTAAGCATGTAGGAGAGAGGAGTGTGTGTAGAAAATTTGAAGGGAATATGATTTAGTTGCATGGTGTGACTGGAGGTTTTGAAAGTGAGAAGGTTTTGGGACTTTTGCATGAGTAATAGTTTCTCTCTCTCTGCATTCTAACTCTGGCCAAGTTTGAGTGTGGAGACAAAGAGAAAAGTTCTTGTGTACCAGAACATAGACAAATGGTTTATATGCTGAGGACTACGGCTTGCTGGGTTTAGTTGATATTTTCCCACGAGCCCCAGCTCATCCAAATTGGTAAATATGTGAGGTTTTCAATTTCAGCATTTGTTACACTGTTTTGCACTTAGGTACATTGAAGGAAACTCAGACGAGTGGATTGTTTTGAGTGCACAGTGAGGGCAGTTTGAGGAGAGATGGAGGGAATTATGTCCACCCACCTTTCAGGCTAGATCCCCGGGTGGGTTCTTTTAAAGACTGGTCATTATGGGAAAGAAAAAGCAATCAGAATACTGGTCCAGTACATTTCTAAGCTTAACAAGGGTATTGCATTTGGGAATATATTTTTGTCTACCCCTCCAAAAACTAAATAAATAGGGGAGAATGAATGGGTTAGAATAAACTTCCAAATTTTATGCTTTTAAGAGGAAGTTTCACCTATAATTCTTATCAAATCTGTGTAAACGTTTTCTGTGTTGTGAAATTCCTGAGTAAATGAGAATCCTTGAGATAAAAATTGAGTAAATTTTTAAAGGTTTGATAATATTTGTTATTGTGGTAATGTTCTTCACTTATAAAAACTGAATTTTTTTTGTTTTTGACTAAGGAAATTTGATGTCTAGGAATTCTGTAACAACTAGGAATTTAGTTTGTTATGGTACTTTGGGAAGTTATTTATGTTACTTGAGGACATTTTACATCAACTTAGTTTTAATGAATTCCATTTTTAAAGGTTTATTTTTACTTTAAGGTAGAAAGGAAAGATATCTATCACCTTAAAAATTTCTCATGAAAGTTTAGTGATTATTCCTTCTAACATCAGGATAAACTGTAAGCTTTTTTAGAAAGGGAAATACTTTTTACAAAGTAATGTTTTGCAAAATCTTTTTGTATGATTTTTAGAAGGCCTACTAAATTTCCATTTGCAAGCTAATTTGTTGCAATAATTTAATACTGATAACAATTATGTCTTAATCCACTGTGAATTTTCTAAGTTTCATTCCTATGTAAAGTGTGTCCTTGAATTGGCCTTAAATGGGTGCTTTCAGAGAAACAGAGTCAATGGTTCCTGCTTCAGGTAGCATAAGAAAGGGCACTGGTCTCAAGAATGTAGGTTTGAAAGTTCAATGCCCCACTCTAAGTTTTTAAGGGGTGGACGTAGAAGTGAAAAAGATAGGACAGCTAAAACATCTTAGCAGATTCTGGAAGTTTTTGAGATTGATCATTAAGGAGTTTTTAAACACCTCCTTACAATCTTGTCACTCCTTTCCCCCACTTCCTCTGAGTCAAGAGGGTATCTCTGTGTGGGGATCCCAAACAGCGCTGGGTTTCTCTATTAACCCCTTTCAGCCCAGATCAGATTAGGAAGAGTGTTTTACCCCTCTCTCCCCTGCCCGCAAATTCACCTTCCCCCACCTGGCTATAGGAAGGAAGGGGAGGGGCAGCTACAGCCTGGAAGTATCTTCCAGCACACAGCCATGGGGAGTAAAAGGGGATGGGTCAAGGTAAAGAAGCCAGTCTATAGGGATGGGAGTGGCCCCAGGAGACTGTTGGACCTGGTGAAAGGGTCTAGAAAGAAGAAAGATTTTTTTATTGGGTCAATTGTATTAGTTATGTTGCTGGAAGGGCAATTTCTTTTATAATCTAGAATGTTAAATTAATTGTGTCTTCAAAAAAAAAAAGGAGTCAATTTGGCTGTTGGGGCATTTTATATGATCCTGTTTTGTAACATTTCCTTTTAAATATTGTAATTCAAGGAAGTATAAGATTTTCAAATTTTGTGTCTATTGAAAGGGAATTTTCAGTTGAAATTGTTTTGTTACAATTTATGAAATTTGTGAGATTGTTAACTAAGTTTTGGGGTTATTGTTTTAATATCAAAACCTAAGATTGTTAATTGATTACTTGTGTGTGAAAAGGAGGGGCACATGGCAATTCCCCTTATTTTGTAAACTTGCCAGGATCCCTGGAAACTATGGGGGGGGGAAGGTCATCTGCCCTGAAAGAAAAAAAAAGTGCAGCTTCCATATGTTTGTTTGACATGTGGCATGGGAAGGAAATTTTCTTAATTGAATGGGTTGTAAATTCAATAGAGCGGGAGGGTGTCAAAGTGTCAGCTGAAATTATAGACCAAGATATCTGTGTTTCTTTTACCATTAACATGACATAGCATAGTCTATGTCCATAAGATACCGAGATAAGAAAAGTCCCATTGTTCTGGAGAGTGTTTGGTCCCAGACAGTGATAACAAACAGAAAGAATGTTGGTCAGTTCTATCTGGTCCTGGAAAGGGGTGTTTTTGGTTCACTTGAAAAAAAAAAAGAATTAGTTCAGGTTTTTGGCCCTTATTGGGGTTCAATTGATTATACTCACCTCAAGATGTTCCCATTGTTTAAAGGAATTATGAGAGCAGTAGTATTTTTCTGTGATCAGTCTCTTACTATTACCAATGTGAGATTAAATTCTTATTATCTAGGATTTGTGATTTTATGGGACAGACATTTACTATTGTTTTGAGCTTTGATTACCAGGGTACTTGTCTGAGTTGTCATAAAGCCAATAGTAGAATGGCATGTGCTGCAGGCTGATAACTGATAAAGGTGGAAGTCTGTGCCTGGGAAGACTTTTGAGGACAACCTTGGACACAGCCTAGATAGGATCTTCCTGACTCTATTTCCCAATTGTGCTATTTCCTTTTTGACAAGGGAAATCCCCACCTGATTACTCCCAGGCCCTGTTTTTAACATCCAGTGACTACGCGATTACCTATCAGATATGACTCATGCCTGGAATCAAATGGAGCTAAGGAAGTTCTTTCCTTCTGATATGATATATGACCCTGTCCCTCTGGAACATCTCTGTGTTACCGTAATAGGATGCAAGTACATTCATGGCCACATAATAATAATATAGGGATAACATCCCCCTAAGGAGGAAATGTTTACACACAATAATAGGACAAAGGTGTAATGTGATAGATGTCTAATTAAATAGGATAGCAAATTTTGAGAAAAGCAATAGGATTAGACTGATATGATTGGCTTCCAAGATGTATCTATCATGCAATCAAGCTTTAAGCATGTTTAGGTAGGAAGATCACAGTTTTGGATTTTTACACTAAGCCAGAGAAGCAGAGCTCCCTTTTTGAACTGCCTATGAATTAAACCGATTGTACATGAGCAAGGAACTTAATGTTAGTTAATATAGGTAATACTGATTGTATTGATTTGTATGATTCCTGTCTAAGGTTTTCTTTGTTACCCTGATTACATGTAAATCTCTCTTTTCCAAACTAGTCTATTGTGAGCTCTCTGATTGGTTTAATCTGTACCTGACTTAATGTAATTATGCAATTTTGCGAATTATGAGTAAACTTTGTTGTATTGTTTGAACCTAGTCCTGTGTGACTGGGAAAACTGAACTATCTCTATGTGCCTTTAACTAAAGACTTATGAGGGATTCTGGAATACTTAGGAATTCAGTTTCCTTAATACTACTCTGGAATTTGTGTTATTTAAGAACTTTTGTACCAATTTAGTGAGGTTTTATGAACAAGAG